ATATTGTTTACATTTGCACTACATTATTGTTAATTAATTTGAGATGTAATTTAGGCCTTGGAATGTTGTGTGTAAGTTGTTAAGTATTTAATAGGACTAAAATACTAGTGCAAGTGTAAGAATATTGTTTTTGATTATAATTATGGATGTTGATTACAAAATACAATGTTAAGATTTCCCTTTGCTACTTTTGATACCATAGGGGTTGAGGAGTGAAAATGTACTATGATTAAAAATATGTGTATGTAGTGTGTTATACAAGTAATTCTAAGTCTATTGAGTATGATATGGGTGTTAGGAATGACTTTTGGCATATACGTGGGGTTTTGAATACTCTTAAGTTGTGAAAATTGTGAAAATGGTTAAAAATATGTTTTGGTATCCAACATTCTTGTGTGACTTAATTTGGAAGTATAGCACATACCATTAGCTAGTTTATAAAAAAAGTTTTCTATAGACACCAAGATCACCTCATTCGTACTTCGGATAGAGAATTGAAGCACATAGAAAGCTGCCTGAAATTGCTATAAAAAAATGTGTAACATGCTACTACACGTGGCACAGAGCATAACAGCCACGGCACACTACCCTGTTTTTCACTTGGAATTTCCTTTCTACAAGTTACAAACTTGGTAATCCTTTTTAGGTTAATCCCTTGATTACTTTGGATATGATAGCTAATTGTGATTAAGGGAGATATTACAACTTGATATTACAATACCTATATGTTAATGCCTTCACTTTTTTTAATCATAATATCCCATATCTCATTGACCAAGTGAAGTGTAAGGTTGTCTGTATCACAACCTCTCAGCATATTATAGATAGGCTCTATAAATTCCAAAATATATGCAATTTTGTCCGACCACATGTCATTTAAAATAAATTCGTTTACAGTTTGAGCCCTACACACATCATCCTCTCTATAAGAGTTCTATTGATCACTAATAACCATTCATTGCAAAGAACATTTCAAAAGTTTTAATCTTTTCGACATCACTATAACGGAAGCAAATCATGTTTCAGCAACAGCAAGGAGTTTCAAAAGTGAAAAGGTATTAAACATGACCAATCTCATAGAGTAGTTCATGATGAAGTTCTTAACAAAAGAAACATCATCAGCAACTTCAGTAATCTAGTGACATTCTCCATAAACAATCTCACTTCTTTCAATATTCTTATATGCACAAATGCTTTTCAATGCAAGATTCAAAGTGTGCACCACATAAGGAGTCTCAAAAATCTTAGGAAACAATGATTCAATTTTCATTTCAACAAACTTATAAATAGCTACATTATCTGTTATAACTTGAACCACATTTTCTTCACTCACTTCTTTAATAACTTCTACCATCCTATCTGTTATGTAGTGTTTGCTTTTGATTTCCCTAGAAGCATCAACAGCCTTTATAAAAAATGCACCTCCTTCAATAGTGACCATAAAATTAATTAAAGGCCTTATTTGTGAATCTGTCCATCTACTGGCAACTATACTAACCTTTTTTGCTTTTCAAGTCGACTTAATAGGTTTAAGCAACCTCTCAATATTAGCTTTATCTTGTTATAAGAGAGTTGTTCTTAAAGCATTATATCTAGAAGGGATAAAGCCATTAAGATTATGGTTCGCAATAAACAAATAAGAGTACACATAGTTAGGATTTCTAGAAAGATTAAAAGGCAACCTAGAAGAGTAAAACATTTTAGTAATAAGAGCTTTAAAATTATCTCTATCTTCCATGTTGAACGTTTTTCCTGAAGCTCTAAAATTTCTTCTTTTTAATGAAGAGTTTTCTTGGGTTTTATCAGTGGACAATGGGACATACTTCACTTTCACTCTTTTTTAAGCCTTTTCAACAATTGCTTTTAATTCACTCAAATATTCATCATTTATTTTTGGATACATAGAAATTCCACCCCTCAAAATTTTCAGCAAATGAGATTTTACTCTAGAGCATGAACTTCTAATCACCTTTTGACAAAAATTACAAGACTAAGTTTTGTTTCCACTCCATTTCCTTTATCTAATATCGTGACATAAGCCTAAAGAGGAGCATAATCATCTTGTAAATAATCAGAAGAAACAAACTTACTTGGAATTTTAAAAGTAGAACGAGAACTATTTGGTATTGTTGTTGACATCTTGAAGCATGTAGAAAAGCAAGTTGCTTGTCTTGCCGAAAGTTGATTCTACTTCCCTAAAAGTAAGTTAGGGTTTATATTATAAGTTTATAACTTTTTATATCATATTACATTCCCATACTTTTTTATATTATAATTAAAAAATTGTTTTTTTATTTGTTTATTATATCTAAAACTTATTTTTAAAAAAATTTTAATCTTTGACTTTAAAAGTAAATCAAAAAAAGATACTAGTAATACAAAGTTTAATATGGTAATCTTTAATTAAATTTAATTTCTTAAAAATTTTCTTGAAATATAAGCTTTAAAATATTAACTCACAATTTTAAAGTATTAGGTACGCATCGAAAACTATTTTTTTAAATTAAAAAAATAAAATTCGAATACTTTATGAATATGTATTGAAGAAATATTAATAAGTATTGATATTGAATATGATATCAATATGAATATGTAAAGCAATTTGAAGCATTGATGGGTAAAAATTATAGTGTAGTGTGATTTTTTTTTGAAAAAATAACAATAAAATCTTTCTAAAATATATAAATGATAATATGATTTTTTGAAATGCCATAATCTTTTTAAAGTTCTTAAAAAATTTTCTATTATTAATGAATTTATATAAATTATTAAATTATTCTTGTTGAAAATAAATTATTCACAAGTTTTGTTTAAGTATTCATAATTTTTCTTCTTTTATTCACTACAATACAACAATAAATAATTAATTTAACATATGAAATTGTGATTTGCTATTACATTATTGTGAATATAAGAATAAAAATTGTAAATATTTAAACAAAACTTGTGAATCATTTATTTTTAACAAAGATAATTTAATAATTTATATAAATTTATTAATGATAAAAAAAATTTAAAAATTTTAAAAAAATTATAACATTTAAAAAAATAAAATTATTATTTATATATTTTAAAGGTTTTTTATTTTATCTTTTCTTTTTCGTTTAATATATATATATATATTTTGGTGTGTGGAAGAAATCATAGTTTGTCGGAGAAGAAAAAGAAAGAACACAGGGATGTGTCCTCTCTGGCACTTCCTCTTTTTAAGCTTCAAGCGCTTTCGTCAGTGTTTTCCTTTCTGCAAAAACAGACCCAAAAAAAAAAAAAAACAGTCATCTCCTGTACTTTTAAATTTTTCGCTTTTAAATTTCAGTTCTGTGTCGAGCAAAAAATTTAAAAATAAACCCTATTTTAACCTAACAAACAGGAATATACAAATTAAATCATTTGTACTTTCGTTATACTCATAAGTTTATTTTTTTTCAATTAAAAAAGCGTTGAATATAAATTTTTTTTAGTAAAAATGCATTTTAGGCCTTTTAATTTTAAACAATGTTTTATTTTTAACTTTTAATTTTATAAAGCATGTTTTTTTCAATCATTTAACCTCAACAATATTAGTTTTATTTAAAAATATTGACATTAAAATTTTTAAATTTGATAAAAATATTCACAAATAACGACATGTTAAGTTTAATATTTTAAAATAATAATAATTGACATGATAAATTGTTATATAAAATTAATTATTATTGGGTTATAAGACTGAAAAAAATATTTTATACAATTAAGAGATCAAATTAAAATTTTATATAAAATTATAGGATCAAATGTTTCTGTAATCTTTGTTAACAATAGCGTGTTATGCATATGACTTTCATAAGGTTATAATAATTTAACAATACTACTTGCTAATTAAATTATAAACTACACGTATTATTATAAAAAAATTTATATTTATCAACTAGGAAAAGGGATGCCCGAAGAATTTCTTCTATTTTTGGGAGAGCCCACCCACAGTGATTTTCATTTGAGACTCGGGCTTTGACTGCGTCCGAAGGGAATACTTCCGGAGGTCCATGGCGAGAGGGTGGAAAGAAAGGAGAGTTTCGTCATTTTGCCTGTTCTAGGAATAATTCTAACGCTTTAAAGGACTAAATTGTAATTAATCAGATTCAAAGGACTTATTTGATTGACCGTCAATGGGAAAAAGGATTTATTTGATTGACCTCAAATGGGACAAAATTAATAAATTATGATTAGCCCTTTTTTAATGAAATTAGTAATCTAGTTATAACTTAAAACATGATTTTCCTTCATCACATATAGAACTGCCAATTAAAATTAATTTAACTTTAAAAAACTAACTCTTAAAAGGTTAAGATCTAAACAAACAAACCTTAATAAGTTTGATAATGTTTTCACATTTTTTTTACACCCTCAAGATTGAAGGATAAATCCTCAAGACCTCAACCTTTTTATTTACTTTTTTTAATTTAAAATTTTAAAAAATATATTTATAATCTTAAAAAAATTATTATACATAAAATTAAGTTTAAAAAAATAAATTTAAATTAATTTATACTATAATAAATAAAAAAATTTAAATATTCAAGTTTAATATCAAATAATAACATTAAAATTAATATCAATAAAAATTAAATTTAATTAATATTATTAATTAAATCTTAATAAATGAATGAAACACAAATAAATTTAATATATTTATTTTTTTAATTATATATTTAATCTTTTATTTTTTTATAATATATTATAATTTTTTTAAAAAAATAAAACTTTAAAAGATTGATCCTAATTGATTAGCTTTTTTATTTTTAAATTTGAAAAAACTGACATTAATTATTTTTAAACTTAAAAGAATCTCACAAATTCAACCTTAATTTTGCAACTCTAATAATAAAATTCAAGTAATTTTTGTTGATCAAATTTTAAAATAATATTCTATATACACAATTATTTTGTAGTTCATTCCTTGCAAAAGTTGCGTCGCGAATCATGTGTTTTTCCCAACATTATTGTGATTAGTTACAGCACCGTTAGTAAAACAACCACGCGCACATTTTATTAATGGACCATCAAAATACCAGATTATATTTTCGTACGGATACGATATCTGGGATATACCCATCTTCGTTCCAAACAACCCTCACACTACCAGAAAACTACGAGACGCCCAAACACCCGAAAACACACCCACGAAACAACGGCGAAACTGGGAAGGTCTCACATCTCTCCCAGTCCACGACGCACCAGAAGATAGTGTCCGTAAACCTAGCCAGCCAGAGACAGACACGTATGCACGGTGCCGTCTTTTCTTTATTGTTGTTGTTATTATTATTATTATTATTTACTGCACGTGACAACGACGCGGATTTATATCGCCAGGACGAGTCCCGGCACGGATTTCCCGGCCTGTTGCGAGACGCTGCTTTCCCACACAAAGGGACAAGGATGCCTGGCCGCAACGGCAGTGATCTCCGACGTCGGAGAAGAGTTAGAATCGCCGACGCGGGTGACGGCGAGGGAAGTGTTGAAGTACTCCCTGACTTGGGTGATTATCCCATCAGTAACGGTCCAGGCGTGAATCCACCAGATCGAGCGATTGTTGTCGCAGCCCTCAACTATGACGATAGGCCCAAAGGAGGCGAGAGATTGGGGAACGAACCGGAAGGTGTCCGAGGATGGTTCGCCGGTGAGCATGCGCATCAAATACTGGTCGGACGGCGGACCATGGAACCACCACTCTAGATCAGGCGCGACGAGCTTGACCACGGTGTCGGAGTCTCCGGAGCTTAAGGCCTCATATAGCGTGAGAACCAGCTTCTGGTTGCTGGGATCAGCGTCCAGACTTGCCGTAGAATTAGCCAGTTCTTGGGGAATGGGAGCTGGTGAAGGTTTCTAGCAAGAGCAGGGAAAGAGTTTTCGGGAAGGGTGTAGAAGATAAACCAGAGGCGCTGGTTGAGAGCTCGGAATAGGGGCAAGAGGGATTTATATAGGAAGGTGTGTGAAGCGAACTCGGGATTCACTGCATCCAGGTCTATGATAACATGGAAGCGATTCCATATGATGGCGGGAAGACGTGGAACATCGGGCGGTGTTCCGGAAGTGTCGAGGAGTGATTGGGCAGTTGAAAATGCCATCATACATCGCGATCGGATACTATATTGATCAAAAGTCAGGGAAACGTATCGGAGAATTTCATTTCAGGAGGACCCCACGTTGGTTAGAGGGTTACGTTATTGTGTTAATTTAATACGCTAACACTTTTTCGGCGAAAACCAGCATTGTCATTACCTTGAAGGAGTCAGATTTTCCCTTTTTTCCATGGGAGAATTTCGACTGAAAGCTAAGAATATAATTTAATTATTACTCAATTTTAAAAACTTTAAAATTTCAGTTCAATTTCAGAGAATTAAAATAAAAATAATTTTAATAATAAAAAAAATTAAAATACCCTTCACATATTAATTTTATTTAAAATATAAAATTATTAATTATGAATTTTTTGATTTTATTTATTAATTTATCAAATAAGTTGTAAATTATATCAGTTTGTCAAACAAAAAAAATATCAATTATTAAATTATTAACTTTATTTATTAATTTATTAAAATTAGTTATAAATTATATGATAATTTAACAATTAATGTTCAAGTCTTTTATGATTATTGATAGATCAATTTATGTAATTTACAACTCATATTGATAAATTGATAAGTGAAATAAAAAATTAATAATTAATAATTCTATATCTTGGACAAGATTAATAAGTGAAGGGTATTTTTATCTTTTTTTTATTAAAATTATTTTCACTTCAATCCCGCTGAACTGAACTAAAATTTTAAATTTTGTATTTTATTTATAAGTTATTTTTAACATATTTCATTGAAATCAAGAAAAATTTTGAATCTCATTAATTTTGTCTTAAAATTTAATAAATTTTCATCTTTACCTCTAATAAATATTATTAAATCTTATTATTAATATTTTTATTTAAAATATTTAATAAAAGTAAAAGTGTAAAAATAAACATTAAAAATTAATAATACCTTATAAATAAAACTAAAAATTTTTTCACTCCTTTCCCTGTCACTTTCTCTTCAAAGAGTTGATCAGATTTATTTTCATTTATGCTTTATTTGTCTGCTTTTATAAATATTTTATAAACACTTTATAAACCTCAAATCCAACAACTACATTTATTGATTTGTAGTTTTTTTATTATTGGACTGACATTTTACAAATAAAAGAAAGTGTAATGGGAAGGAATTTGGGATGGGGGGCATTTGTTGGTCCTGGATGGTCCCCTACCCTACAGCAGCGAGTCTAATGAGATGTGATGAGTCGATGAGAAGAGAGGCAGAGAGAGTGAGGGAGGGAGTTACAGCGCTGCAACAACTAGCCAAGTTGACGTGTGACATCTATCGAGAGAGACCATTGCTGCGTCACACAACCCAAATTTACCGCACGAACCAAACAACCAAACACGCTGAGAACAAAGCAATGGTCACATTTATTTCACACCATCTCGAGCCCCCTCATCAAAAGTTCGAAGACAACATACACTTGGGCTCTCTTTCTTCTATTCTAATATTCTATTCAACGGTCGGCACCGGCCCCCACAGAAAATAGTGACAATCCCAGTTTTTTTCCCTTTTTTTTTTCTTTTTGATGAAGCAAAACGAATCCACGGAGGAAGGTATATTGGCGGCAAATTTTTCCTATTTTCACTTCAGTTTTTAGCTTTCGGGATGACAGACAGAGAATCCGCAAGTCCGAAACGGCAGCTGAGAAATTATAAATGCGACTTGAGAAAATGACAGGTGTTTTGGGAGCTGAGGGCAGGGCGGGGACCACATCCCCTTCCGTGGGACCCACCCAACTCGATGGATCCAACCAGGCTTTTCGTCTCTTTCTTCGCGAGTTGGCCCCTCTCCTCTCTCGAATCTGCATTCCGTGCTCATCAGCGTGCTCATTAATCTTGTGAGTGATCATAGCCTTTCATTTTATTTAAAATAATCTCTACCTTTAATTTTAAATTAATTTTTAAATATTTTAAATATTATATTTGTTAGAATAAAAATTATAAAAAATTTTAATATTAAATCTGAATTATTCTCGATGCTCATTACATGATGAGCACTATCATACACGTCAATCTTGACAAGAACAATTCAAATTTAAATTTTTTTATTTTATGTTAATCAAAATAAAAATACATAAAAAAATTAAATTTTTAATAAATTTATTGATAATCAATCTTAACGTATGTTTGGATAGAAAAGAAATGTGCGATTTCAGCTTGAAATTAATTTTTTGAACAAAATCACCCAAACAGAATAAAAAAGCAGAAATCGATTAAAAAGACAAAATGCGCATTTTTCCATAATCTCCTCCACCAGCTTATTGAAAAAAGTTTTCAAAAATGTTGAAAAAAATTATAAAGAAAGGCCCAAAAAAATTACAAAAAAAATGCATAATTTAATAAAAATAAAATTAAACTCTCTTCTTTTCCTTTTTTTCTTAATAAAATTTAAACTTTGTATATTCAAAAAATTAATATTTTGTATTTAAAAATTAAATTATATAGTAATTTATATAGTTAAAAATTAATTCTGATTAAATTATCCAAACATCTTCAATTCTATTAAAATTAATTTTAGAAAAACAGTATCTAAACAGATTGCGTTATAATATAATCAATTATGATTAAAATCTACCACTTAATCAATTATTTTTATAATCTATTATACCCAACTAAAATCCAAACAGACCCTTATTTGTTCAGATTTAATCTGAATAATTCAATTTAATATAAATTTTTTTATATCTTTTATAAATTGACTATACAGATATATTTTAAATAATTCAGATATAATCTAAATGATTTAATTTAATATTAAATTTTTTTATAATTTTTATAAATTGACTATCTAAATATATTTTAGATATTTAAAATTCAACAATAATTTTTTTATAATTTTTATTTTGACAAATATATTATTTAAAATAATTAAAAATTAATTTAAATTCAAAGGCAGAGATCATTTTAAAACAAAATAAAAGGTCAGGATCACACACAAGGGTGATGAGCACCAAATGCGGGTCTCTCTTCTCTCGCCAATAATTTTAATATATTCTTCGTTCGAGGGGTCCATTTCTCAGTGAAACCCGCCTCCTTGGAATAATTTAATAATTTATCATTGATTGTAGTTTTCCTTTCCTACAAAAGTTTTCAAGGAAGCAAGAGGCCGGAATTAGAATTCTTGTTGATTTTGAATAGCACTACTGCTAGGCGCATCGTGTAGTGGAGGATTGGACTTTAACTGTGTCAGTAACTTAGTATGATTTTGGCAAATTTCCATGAAATCGAAATCGAACACTAAAGTGGCAGTCAGGATAACGGAACACGTCAGATTTCATTTTCCTCGCTCCCTAAGTGGAAATGAAAAATTACGGTGTTCATGGATTCGACTATTCCCTCCTCCACCTGATTCAGCAAAACGACTGCATTGATTTGTAGCCACACATATACAAGCACTAATCCCCACAATGTTTATGGAACGTTGGAACATGCGAATATGGTGGGCAATATCATCACCGCGCATCGAGGCGTATGCAGATTAGGACAAGGTCGTCGCCCCCCCTCGGTCCCCAGAAACCAGGTTCACTGAATTCAACAAAGCCTGTGCTTTTTCTCCCCCACGTTTTATTGTACTTTTATGGCTACAGAAAATAAAGTCTACACTTTAGGTTAGTACTGGACAAAAGACGCAACAAGACTGAACTTTAATCTAATAGATTAAGAGTCTGATCTTTTACAAAAATAATTAAATTAGATAATTTATAATTTGATTCGATCTATTGATAACTTAAAAATTAATAAGATAAGACTTAATTGCAAGAATTGTAAGATTGATTATATTAGTCCAATATTTATTTAGTTTTTTTTACAAGAGACAATAATCTATTTCAAACTAATAAACTCAATTAAGATAATAAAAACACTCATAATCATAATAAATTCATAATAATTTTTAACAGTGAGAAAAAAGATATTTTTATTACAATTCAAATGATTTCAATTTACAATTTTAACAAAGATAACACTCAACAAAGTACAATAACACTATATTATAATAACAATTTAGAAACAAACTCAGCAAACCTTTATGCAATCATTCCCTAAGCATCAAGTACCCTTAAGCGTCTATCAAAAATAAATTATACACACACATATAAAGTGATTAGTAAGTATAAAAATACAATATATAAATTAAAGTAAGAGACATAAAATTGAAAATATTACCTGCAACATTAACAACATCATTAGTCTCTTAAAAATTGTCAAACTCATGAAGCATAGAGATAAATTCTCAAGAAAGATTGCCCTACAACTAGCCAATTCTAAACACAAGTGAGTACTTCAATCATCTTAAGAGATAAAGAACTTCTATAATCATCAACAACACGTCCTCTAATGCTAAAAGCTGATTCAAAGGCAATTATAGATATTGATATAGCCAATACATCTTGCTATCAAGGAAAGGACTCTATATTTGGTAGAATTAACTTCCACCATGTTAAGATATCAAAATCGACATCATCATCATCATCATCATCATCATATAGAAGGATGTCTTTAGATGCACTAACAAAAAAGTATTAATACAACTCTAATTGAATATCAACTGATGAACTTTTTTGTTTTTGGGATGCCATCTACAACCAAGGTCTTTTGTTAACTTTATTTGCATTTAAAATGTTGGTGTCAAGAGCATTTGGAGAGTTAGTACTACTAGAACTACTTGTATTAGGATCAATTGTTATAGAGTATTCCTCGAATAGGTGATACAAAGTGTCTTTTATCTTGTTCTTCATGGACATACAAAGGTCGAGGTCAGGAAAAAGCTAATCAAGCACATGGTTAATATGGGCAAGCTTGTATCAAGGATCGAGAATCACAGCAATAATTAATAGTGTTCAAATTATTTGCTGCCCTCAATACTTGTCATACTTACTATTTATGCTCACAGACATCTCCCTAAGAAGAGGGTCATTACTTTCAATATTCTCATCTAACAACTCCTAAATTAAAGTGATTTGTTTTTCATTATAGAAATAAAAAAGAGATGAAAGACTACTAGTCTACTACAATTGATCTTAATTGATGAAAAATGCTCTATATACATGTAACTAAACCCTCCCAATAACAAGATAACTTGAATTAATTCCTCCAAATAACAAAAACCACAATAGATTGCTATTAAGTTCAATAAAACACTACCTAACTCTTAAGAACCAAAAATTGTTACCAGTTATGTCTTAGAAAAAGTGTGATCAAGTCATTTAGAAATTATAGGCTTTTAATATATGCAAATCAGTTTCCTCAAGGTACACAAGCAACCATGCATATGATATCATAAATTCAAGCTTGAAAATGTTGATGTCAACAGTGACACATAGATCTAGTTCAATGGTTTTCAATAGATCCAATGATCGGGTAGAGTCAGAAAAAAAAACAAAAGGAAGAAGAACAATTTGCTTGAAAATGCCAGACTTAAGTCAAATGATTGAGACAAGTTCAATAGTAAGCAATTTCACGACCAAAAATGCCAGACTTGGGTCAATGACAAAAACAATTTGATGAACACTCTGTGGATTCTGTAACGAGCCAATCTCAGATTAAAAAGGCATCAAAAGAGAAGAATGTGTATGAACATTCCTTTTCATATGTCTCTATTCTCCATTTGCAAACAAATTAGAGGTGTGATGTGCTCGAAGGTGTGACGAGCTTGACGATGAATCAAAGGTTAGGGGTGATAGAGGGTAAGGGCGGGGCAATGGTGCGATGTGCTTGACAATGAATCAGAGGAGAAAGGTGATGACTTGGTCCAGATACGAGAGGCGATAGGGCTTCTAGTTTAGTTTGTGAGAAATTAAGAAAGAGAGTGGTTCGAGTTCGAGTGAGAATAGAAATGACTGAGTGAGTGACAGTGACTTAAGGGTTCTAGCGTGTAAAACTTCTGAATTAATAATTCATAAATTAATTTTAATTATATTAAAATAATTATATAGGACTAGATCAGACTACTTAGTCCAGATGGTTAGTCTATAGTCTGGTCTTATTTAAAAAATTAGTCTTGTCTTTTTAATCCTATAGAACCAACATTTTCCAAGACCAGACCGAACCACGTTTTCACGAGTCAGATTGGACCACAAGACTTTTACATAGCCCTACTTTAGGTATTCACCAAAAGAAGCATAGTGCTCATCACCTCATGAATACAATCCAGATTTATCATTTTTATTTTACATTTTATTACATATTTATTAAAATATAAAATTTTAATAAATTTATTTTATTATTAATTTAAACAATATAAATTTGATTTGAATGGTTTAACTTAATATTAATTTTTAAATTTTTAAAAATTAATTATTCAAATGTACTCTAGATCCGATCTATCAAGAGTATATCTAGATAGTCACTATCCAAAATATATTTGAATAGTCAACTTATAAAAATTTTAAAAAATAATATTGAATTGAACCACCCAAATTGAATCTGTATTATCTAAATTGATAATAAAGTAAATTTATTAAAATTTTATAATTTTTTATAGTAAACATATAATAAAAATAAAAAATAAATTCTATAAAATATGGACGGTCCGTCCATATCACTTGATGAGCACCAAAACCAAACCTACACTTGAGCTAACTCCTTTATTGAAATATTATATTATTAAAATATTTTGTTTTAAGTTTATCAGTATGAATTTTAAAAAGATTGTTTTTTAGAAATGGTAGATATTAGTGTTTTGAAAAATTTTAATTAATACCTCACTTTTTTTTATTCAAAGTGATTAATATATAGGATATTAAATTTTAAAAATAGAGTCCCTCCCTAGCATTGGAAATGTACATGTGGAAAATAGGGGGAAAAAATGCCCAGGCTGAAAACTTAAAAAGCATTGAAGATGCGGAAAAATACCTCTCCAGAAACCAAAATTTCGCTGCGTTTAATCTGAGGCTGGGATTTACTGATTTAGTACATTGCCCCAAATACTTTAAAATCGAGTGCCTTGATTTAAAATTATCAATGGAATAATTTACCACAGGTATTCCATTATTTTGCCTTATGTTAATGCATAAATTAAAATCAAGGTCTTGCGTACGGAATACTTTAGGTTATTTAATGACTATTAATTTCTTTAAGATTATCAAATTATTACTCAATTTAATCTTATTTATAAGTTACATTTTAAAATGTTCATTTGATCTAATTTATAAACTATAGTGTAGCTTTTTAGATAATATTTAAAATTTATTTCTAAAATGACAAAAAAGTAACATGATATTATTTTTTAAATTTGTTATATAGAAACAAATTTAAAATTCTACACATTTTTATACCTTATATTTTTTTTATGTCGATATTAATGATATTGATAAAAATAACTTGAACAAAAAATGGAAGAATACTTAATATTTCACTGTTGATAGGGGGGAGGTGGATTGGGGCTCCCTCCTGTACGTCGGGGGGGGGGGGGGGGCGTCACCTCTGCTGATCACTCAAGACAAATAATGGCCTACTCAGGCAAATGCAGATGACAATAGACCCAGAGCCAAAAAACAAAATGCTCGTTTAGATCACTACTAGCCACCGACACCAAGTTCATCATCAATATTACATGGCTTAAGGAAAGAATGTCACGAAAGTAATGTAATTACATTTGGGATTCATAATTTCACCATTGATGTAATTACTGGTGAGAGCAAGCCACATAACCTAGAAATGTATGACAGTCTCTCCCTCTTGATAAGAAATATATCAGAAGCAACCTCTCGTGATCCTCAGCTCATTTGCTCCGTTAAATTATGCAGACATCATAATGGAATACTCTTTGTTGATATTCATAATATCATGGCAAACCAACACATCCCTGCACCTTGACAATCTTCATTTTCCCTCAAACACAACCTTGTAATAATCAATGTTAAAGGTGTCGTTTTCGTTACTTTCATTGACCCAGGAAAAGCGTGCAAAAAGGAGACATTTAAATGTCAATATTCGAAACTCAAGGGATCTTCCTATTAAAAGTCACTTTGATACAAGCAAAACAGATCTCTTTCTGTTTATTTTATATATATATATATATATATATTATATACCTTTGGTGCCTAAGGGCCATCTCTTCTTATAAATGCTGGAACCGGTAGGTTCGTTGCCCCATATTGACCTCTTTCGAAAGAGTTGTCATGTACAGTGGACAGTGGCGTGTCTGAATGCAAAGATCCAGATGTTATGGTCTTGGAAGGGCAAGAGTTATTACCCAGAGAAGAACTTGTGTCAGATGGGACCAATATTCCATCTTCACAAGGCAATGATGAAATTGAAAGCTGGTCACCAATATCCACTTGCCTTCTGCAGAATTTGTCCTCTACAACATCGTAGGAATTCCCAGTTCTTGCCTCCTGAGCAAGAGCGCACCAGCAACAGCAGAGCCAAAATGTGCAGTCAGAAACTGACGGTTCACCGAAACAGAAGGTATAGGCAGGCAAGTTGAACCTCTTTCTCATTTGGATCCTCCAAAACCCACCGTACAACAATCCAAGAAAACAGAGAATAATTCCAGTAGCTACTAGAGCCTCTCTAACATTGTCATTATCAATGTCAACAGCAGCCAAGATAAAAATCCAGAATGGAGCCGTACAGAACAGGATAAAAGTAGCAATGTGGACATACATGTTTCCAAAACCAAGTCTCTCCATGTTCCTCCCGAACACGCAAAAAGTGCAGAAGAGTGAGAGATATGCAGTAGAGATATCCTCCCAGATGTCAAGTATTCCTCCTCTCCACTGTGGTTCATTCTCAAACACCCTATCATGTCCATCTCTTGTTGCAAATGAATATTTTTTCTCCAATGGCTTTTGACATGAAGTTGTTTGAAGCTGTTTTTCTTCATCCATCTCAAAATCATAATCCCTACCAAGGGGGCTAAGAATGGCATAAAGACCCGCAATAGCAGGTGCCGCTATTGCTAAAGATATACAAATTCCAACTCCTATGACAGGTCTCTCAGATCTTTTGTACCCCAAGTTTAGACTACAAAGTGCATATTGAGCAAAACAGTTCACATGAAGGAGAAGAACCACTACCATCATATGTGCCCGTTCATGTGGTTTATAGGTTCCATTCTTGCAGTACACCTTTCTAAGTGTGAACATATCATTTTGTCTCCATCTGGACAAAAGTACAAGATGATGGAATCTTTTAGGGTGCTGGTATAAACACATGAGTGTAAACAGTGCATTGAGTATTTGGTTGTTAATTTCAAACCATGTGTTTCTCTGAGACTTCTTTGGAAGCACACTGTTCAACATCCCAGTCATGACAAGGAAGAGAATTGCACCTGAAACAGCAACACAGATGATCCACGCAAAAAGGGCCATGTTCATTGGGTTTCTAATCCATTCTTTAAACAAATTCTTGAGGGAAACCCAGTCAAGTTTCTGTGTAAACATGCCACTAAAGCGTTTTCTGAAGCTATATGTACCAGAGGAAGTCACAGATTGTGAAAACTGGTTGCGCTCGGTTATGGATTTGACTAATACAGAACCAAATTTATGGAACTTAATACCGCTAGGAAGATTAGAGCTCAAGGTGTTTTGGAACTTTCTCGCAGGATTTTCCCCGCTTGTCTTTGGAGAAGCTGAAGTTTCAATTTCAGCAGAATCCCTTGCTTCAGTATCATATGTCTCCTCGATTTCATCTTTGGGATCACTAGTATCGACTGAAACCATTCTCTAGTCAAGTCTGAGCTTTCCAACCAAAATCAGAACGGTGTCATCAAGGATTAATGCAGCTGAAATACTGCGAGAAGGATGCAGGGAAATCTATGACTCAGCTGGGTTTTCAAAGCCAACACAAAAATGCGATAATGGAAGCAGAAGGCAATTGATGCAAGCATTTCAACAACGAAGACGAGAGACCAAGGATAATAAGATTTGGTATGTATTAAAGATAATCCAATTATCTAATTATGAAGTTCTGTCAATCAAATAAACTCGTAAATTTACAGGAAGAACTATACCAATGCTGCTAATGATAGTCAAAGAAGAAGTTTATGGAAAAAATTAAAGAATTATAACTCCAAGGAGAGGAGGAGGAAAGTTGAACATACCTATAAACTGACTCAACATGAGCAAGAAGGTGCAGAATTCAAAAGGTTTCGTCTGAGCTATTTGGTGAAGTTCACGTTCCATAAATTAATGGTAGTTGAACAATATGCACCAAAAATGGAACCGAAACTCCAACTATAAGATGAAAAAATCAATTGCAGGTAATGAGTTGGCGAAGTAAGGATGATTAGCAGGTGACACCAAAATGCATAGGATTGATTCTCCAATGTAAGAAGAATGCTCGTCGCTTTCTGCAGGAAAGAAATGCTTGTTTCCACTCAGCAAAAGAGGAAAGCATACAAGGACAAAATAAATAGGAAATTTTTATGCATGGAAACCTTTCATTAAATAATTTGAATTCGTCATAGAATTTTTTAATAATTTAAAGATATTTTTTAACCAAGGCTTTGAGTGAATTCTTTTATCTTTTGGAGTGAATTTCTTTTTTTTGGGGGTGTTTAATAAAACCCCAGGAGAGGTTCGGCCGTTTAAGTACTTAAAAATAATAAAAAGATTTTAAAAGGTTATGACATAATTAAATAAATAAAACTAAAAATATAAAGTTGTCAACAATAATTTTAACATTAATATCACATCATTAAATGAGAATCTTATATATAAATATGGTATGAAAAGTAAATAAAACTATAATTAGCTAAAGAAAAAGAGAAAGAAGGAGAAGAAGAAAAAAAAGAGAATAATGTAATATGAGTATAATTGTATTTAAATATATCAAAATCATGGGCTTGTTATCCAAACATCTAAATTGTAAAATAATTATAAATGTTTATGTAAAAATTATTACGACATATGAATATTTATGTAAAAATAAAGATTTTTACAATATCATGACTAAGTATATTATCTTGTGATAGATTTTTATATATATCATTAATTTGGCAATATATGAAATTGAAATATAATGTGTCTTGTGAATGTTACAGTATATGCATATGATTCACCAAATGTTATATCAAAGCTCCGGTGTTGGCAATATTTTTATTCAAAAAATAGTTGGTTTAGGTGGTTAAAGAAAGATTTGATCTCATGATCCCGTATATAGCAATATATATATAAGCAGTAAATCAAATTTTCAACTACTTTCATGTCATAACATAATTGTGTTGTTAATTCCTTAATAACATTTGTTATTTTACTAATGTTACTTGTTAATCTAACATGAACAATTACAAATTAGGAGCTATAACATTACATGTATTTTACTTATTAAAAGTCCTAATGTATTATTGTTGATTACGAATAGATTATTGTTAAAACCTGAATGAATACTTGTTGATAAAAGATTAATACTTACAATTTAGCTCATTCCATTGGTTTTTCTCACTTGTTAAAACACACCTAGATTGCTATTAATTTCTAATGAATTTATTGTAAAAATCTAAATATATATATATATATATATATATTTGTTGATGAAAAACTAATACTTATATAATTAAACTCATCTTGTTCATTTTTCTAACTTATTAAAGTCCAAATAGACTATTGTTAATTTAGAATAAATTGTTGTTAAAACTTAAATAAATTCTTGTGATTAAAAGACTATCATGTACAATTATGCTTATCCTATCTGCTTTTCTTGCTTGTTAAAATTCAAATGAACTATTGTTAATTTAAAATGACTTGTTATTTATATATTTATTTTATTAAATTTGTGTTTTTTTAAATTGTTAAAGTTTAAAAGATAAAGATGTATTTTTATTTTTAAAATATTTAAAAAAAAAAGTGGAGAGACCTCCTCCCCAACAAAAACAGGGTCATGGGTCCCAAACGCAGATGACCGACCCACCGTTCAGGTGAGAACTCACATTCTCGGGAAGCTTTGTAGAAGAAAGGATAGGAGAACGAGTAAAGTGAAGAAGATTGAGCGAATCAAAGGAAGGACAAGCAACACGAGCAGCTTTTGGAATACAGATACATTCTAACTGGTAAAATTTCGGACTTCTTCCCATGCGCTGTTTTTGATGCAATCGGAGAATGTTTAGGAGCGAATCTATTCTCTATTGGGGAAAGGTCTCTGTGCCCTCCCGTGCGGGCTATGATTAGTTTCATAAAATGCACTTGCGATCCCGGAATTGGGTTTGAATTTGGAGTACGCAGCTACAGCCAGTTACTATGGTTATTGAACGCATACTTGTGTAGTGATAAGAAAGTAAAATTGAGAGCAAGAGTCATGGATTTTGCTGCCAGTTATATGCTTTCGGTTGTAGAGGTTGAGAGTTTTGTTGTTCGAGGGAAGATTTTGCATCATGGTTTGATTGCTAGGGTGAGGAATGGTTTCTCATTTTCATTTTGCTTAATAATGTTTCCCAATCAATGATTTTTTTATTTGTCATTTGGGAGATGAAAGGAATGTTGAATTTTAGGTGATCACGGTTGATTTTTACTAGTCTTGGAGTTCTATTCCTATTAAGAGCTTAAATTAAAGGTCTTCCTACTATGATACTTTGTTTCTTGCATGGAAATTGGTAAGGATTTTGTTGTCATTTCAATAGTGGCGTCTAGCTCCTTATGTAACTTGTCTGGTTTAAGCTCTTGCAAATATAGCTGGCTGTGCTTCGATTAATGTGGGAGCTTGGATCAGAGTTCTGTGGTAGAACTTGTAGTAATGCCCGTTTAATCCTGCTTTTAATATCCGTTCTGTGCCTGATCTCTGGATTGATATGATCGTGTTGTCTCTTTTGTATTAGTACAACTTAATCTTGGTTCCTACTTTCTAGTTTAAGTCTCTTGCCAAAAATCTTGATTAATATGATGTTGGCATGATGCTGCCTCTTTTGTTTAAGCACGAAATCAGTATGGGTTTCTAATATGAGTTTCGTGCCAAAACTCATGTGATGGAGCATATATTTGAGCTTTAAATTAGGTTCAAATGTTGTTTAAAATATGGTTGCTGTAACACTGATTAATTAATCATGATCTTGAATATTTTTGAGCTTAAATTGGGTCAAAATGGTGTCTGAAACATGCATGCCATCCCATCTTTAGATGGAATCAACCTTGGTTGTTTTAGCTTGCATTTTAGCATAAATATCGCATTAAAATGCCCTTGCTTGTTTCTCTAATATGGATGGGAGGCTATGATTTGGCATGAAAAGTTAGTCTTGTCATTGGTAAAGGCATGAATTCTAGAACAATGCTCTTTGATCTTACATACCATGCACTTTGAAAGAAATTGATTCTTAAATCCATGCTTTATTTGATTAAATATTAATCTTGAAATGATGTTTTTCTAACGAGATTATTATGTTCGTTATCAGGACAATTGGGGTGCTTTTGTCTCCTCAGATTAAGTATGAGCACCTCTTTGAGCCGCCTGCTTAGATCAGTAACACATCTCTCGGCCACCAATCATGCTCTTCACTGCACTAAAGCCCAACCGCTGGCTTGTTCTGCTCCTGCCTCAGTGACACGCTTCATCTGTTCTACAACTCAACACTTCCAATCACAACAGGACAATTCGGTTAAGGAGCAAGCAAAGGCTCTCCAAGAGAATCACACTACTGATGATACTCAAAGCCAAGAGGAAGAACAAGACAGTGGCAACAACAATGATGTCCATATGAATGAAGAAACCGGTGAGGTAGGTGGGCCCAAAGGACCTGAGCCAACCAGATATGGTGATTGGGAAAGAAATGGTCGGTGCTATGATTTTTGAGCTCCTTCAGTTATCTAATAAAATTCGTTCAGAGTCGGCTGTTTTGGGTTCTGGATTTCCTGTTGGTAATAGATAGTTTGGCATCTTTTTCTTCATTGCTCTGCTTTCGTGCGTCACTCTGCTAAATTTTATGCTAGTGAACTCGATCCATTATTGGAAATTCAACACTGTATGAAATTGAAGAAGTAGAATAAAAAGGTCAGGATTTGAGGGTGAAAAGGCAGTCTTAGTGGGAGTTCTTGTTCCATATGGTTTGTAATCTTCAAGGTTATATGACCGACTTAAACAAGAGTCGTATATTCTCAGTCCTCACAATCTCTTATGGCTATGCAGGTGAGGGGACAAGGAAGTCTGTTGGTGCTATAATTGCCTGCTATGTAAAAGTGAACGTCCTTCTTCAAATGCTAAAGCAAATCGATTTGAATCTTTATTTAGCGTTAGTAACATATGATGATATTAGAATTTCGGTAATACGATACCTCGTGCTTCTTTCTTTTATATCAAACCTCGTACCTCTTTTACGGTGACAAATGTTAAGGGGCGTGAACGTAAGGTGCGATGTAGAAAGCGGAAAACAGTGGTGGTTTGTCATATCTTCTGCCATATCATTTTTTTGATTTTTTGGTTTTTTTGTTTTTTGGGTGGTTGGCAGAAGGCTTGTATTTCTCAGAAGTTTTCCTCCCAAAAATGAAGGAACTTTTAAGAAAACATGTATTTTAAAGATTTCCTCAAAGGACGAGACATGATATTCATGTATTTTCTATACGTGAATCGTTGTCCTTATAAAATTAGCCACTTTTCTTTCTTTGGTGTTTTATCTTGTTATTCCAATATGAATATTAAATAGAGAAAATGTTTTAGTTTTAATTTTGTTTTATCTCCATTTTTTTCCACGTCGTTCCCTCCTCATAAAAACAAAGTATTAAACCATCTACGACTGCGTGGTACAGTCATTCAGAATGTTTTTTTCATTATGAAGGACGAACAATGTGTGGAAAGAAATTCCTAGCATGATTGCTATTGTGTTCATCATCGGGAACCTGGACCAAATATAATAGGAATAGCACTCATGCATTAGCCCGAGTTACAAACAAGTTGGGAGCTTAATTAATTCTACAGGTGAGGGTAACTGGGAAAAAACACATTAGCATCCCTTCTTCCAAGACTAGCATAAAGCAAAGGTTTGTAAGTCCAATAAAAGAGGATACAAAAAAACATAAAACTCGTGCTCATCATGACAAGCTCAATTCTTGAATTCAATCATACCACCACTTCAAATGAAATCCAAAAATAGAAGTACAATTTATGAGTAGACTCACAAGCAACTGCACATATAATATGCATATATGATAATACAATGCAACCCATCAAACATTCAACTCAAAGACAATAATATTCAATTAGGTGAGATCATCCTCCTCCAATTCTTTAGATTTCAGCTTTTCCTTCACCCTCAGAAGTAGTGTCGTCTTCCAAGAATCCTGCACAACATTCAAGCAATCAGGCAATGTTGACAAGCCAACAGTTGAGAATTCACAGAATAAGGACAAACGGTTAGTATTAAATATCAATATGTTGAGTCAATTGCAGTTCACGACGCATCTAAACCCGGAAAAGTATGACCACAAACAATGAGAAGCATAACATCCAGAAGCAATAACTGTTGAGTAATCAATATATCTATTTAAATTTACAAGAAATTGCACTCCAAAGCCACGAAAAAGGTGGCTCTCCTTAAGTTCCATGAAAAGCATGATACCCACAGTATAATATTATTTTAACTTCATGAACAGAAAAACAAATAATTAATTATCTTATCTTATCCCCCATAAAAAGAGAACCAAAAAACTACTCAAACCACCAGCTGAAATGTCCAACCAAATAAACATTTCACAATTGCAGTTCAAAATGAAAACTAGGGTCAGTTCTTTGGAACTGTGGGGATGCTGTCCTCGTGTAATATACAACCATTCTATTCTGTTTTAAGAAATTAACGCATAAATTCAAGCATTTAAAATAAAAAAGGTTGCTTTTCGTTTCAGCCTTTAAGTTAGAATGAACAGTACAATATTAAACTAATAGCAACTGTTTCTCATTTTATGCTTACCAGAGGGGTCATGCTGTCAAACTCTTTGACAACATCAGTAAACTTCCCAACATCTTCTTCATCAATTGAAGCAGCAATATCCTGCCACAAAGGGGGGAAACCTTTAATGTGAGTGTTTCATTTCAGTCACTTAGGTTTTGATCGTTCAACGTGATAATCAAAATGTTAATATAATAACCGTACAATTAAGAAAGGATAATTATATCACAGTAAAGCACAAAACATTAATAAAAATTAATAAAGATATTATAAAGATGAAGACAAGTCTTGAAGGTCCCCACATTCTAAACCAATTAAACTGGTCATGAAAAATCAATAGTGAAGAAGCTAACAAAGAGACCAACCGCTAAAAGTCTATATTCCCGTGTTCCTGAAAATGTGGGATCCAATTCCTGCAGAAACAAATACAAATCCAAAAAATGAGCGACAAATGAAATCCTGATCTCAAAATGTTAATTGTTCAAAAATCTTGGACCTGGTATCGCTCTAGTGCATTGGTGATGGCAACAACATCCCCTTTACAGAGTTGGCAAATGCCAGCATTAAGAAGATGCCCTTTAACTCCATACTTCAACAAATTATTGTTCAGAGACTGGCGAGCTATTTCTTCATAAATCTCTATTGCCTTCTGATATCTAATGAAATGAAATAGAACTAGTTAATATTCATGTTTACCAAACAAAAAACAGCCAAGATAACATTCTTTCCATGTTAGAAAAATGAGTCAATCTTTACATTAATCTATTAATTTTTGCCCTATGTGAGCATATCATCCACATTATGCAGGAAAATCTAACAACAAACATTAAGGAATCATATCTTTGGCCTAAAATATTTTCCCCCAATTGATTTGTTTCTAAACTTATAGAAATATCAAAATAAAAGCAATCATGAAACTGCTGCCACAACACAATATCATTATTTAAGAAGCAATGAAACTGACATGGATACATCACATGACAAGTTATATTGTGTTTGAAGTGCTGCGTCCGTATTGCACACATGGATACATCACATGACAAGATATATTGTGTTTGAAGTGCTGCATCTGTATTGCACACACGGATATATCACATGACAAGATATATCGTGTTTGAAGTGCTGCATCTGTATTGCACACATGGATACATCACATGACAAGATATATTGTGTATGAAGTGCTGCATCTGTATTGCACACATACAGCCCCAGTTTGGAAGTACCCAAACCTCATAGATCATCATGCTTGTCAGTGTATGACCAATACCAAAAGCAGCAATGGAGCAATTCCACCCCCCCAGCACCCCCCCAGTTCCCAATGCAAGGTGTTCAGTACAGAGATATCATCCCAAAAACCAACAAATGAAAATTTCTGAATATGCAATTTAAAGCAGCCTGCAATCACCCAGTTCTACAGAATCTTCAATGGCCGTATTAAACAGTGATAGAGTTCAGTCAAGATTATATGCAAACAAATAAATTCCCACAGTAAAAAAAAAAAATAGTCACTTGATCAGATGTAAGTGAAAAAAGTAAAGAAAAATGCTAGGTGACACAAGGGAAGGACACAGAAAAATTGCAGACTAAAAACAAATACACATAAGAAGAAACATACACCATGGTGAAGAATTATAATACCAGCCTTCATAGTCCACGGAGGGGAAAAGGATAATATAACAGAAATCTTACTGTTCAAGCTGAGCAGCAAACTGAGCAACTTTTTGCTTGCACTGGTTTGCAGAAGTTGTCACTTCTTCATTTGCAAAAAAATCAGCTGCTTTTTCATAGTAAACGATAGCCTGCTCAATGTTCTGTTCAGACTCATGCAATTCGGCAATTTCCTGTATGTGTGAAAAATTAAACCCTAGTTAGGATATATTTAATTTTATAGTAACTCCTGTGTGTCATACCATCAATGTCTAGGAACAGGGTTATTGAAATGGAATACCAGGCACAAGAATATCTAAGAGAAGGATTCCATACTTTAAAGCTGACAGACCGTGCAGCGATTAATACCTTAAAATATCTAGCAGCCATACTGAGTCTTCCAATTTCACAGAAAGCGTTCACTGCTTTGTCCAGGCAAGATACAGCCTCTGCATATGGAAAAGAACCAAAAAAAGAGCTCAATATACAAATTTCTGTCTTTTCCCACATATGCAATGGACAACACAATATCATTCTTCACTGCTTTAAAAAGCCAATATAGATAATCAATACAATAATGAATAAGGTTCAAAAAATGATGAGAAGACAGCCAATCAAAAGATAACTCATGGGCAGTCATCAAGAGAAACAGGCTGATTAAATCAAACTGACAACATCTTGCACATGGGGAAATTAACTTCATCACCTCACTAGAATAAATTTAGATAAAAGTATGTACCCATAACTTTGAGCTCAGTCCATTGAATAGGTGAAGTCGAGAATCTAATTTTAATTAATGGAAATGGGACATTCAAAGAGCAAGATAGCAGCAAATTTACTAAAAGTATTTCACAATGCATGAAGGCTGTAAATAGTTTATATGATTTCTATTGAAAGTTTACACCAGAAAGTAGCAAGTCTAAGGAGAATCGACCTCCATGGAAGAGGCATGAGCACCATTTAAAGTATAAATAAAAAATGAGTAAAATGATTCCCATGTGCTAGCAGCATTAAAACTGAGTAGCGTCATTATCACTCAGAAAAGAATACTAGTGTATGTATCCAATAGCATACATACCATTTATATTAGTCTTTTTATAGCAATGTGCAGCATCAACATAAGCTTGGGCTGCTTCATGCTTACTTTCCACCTATAAGCATAAAGACAACATTGCCATTATATGCTTATGAAAGAGAAGGGATGCAAAAGGGACATAGATGGATAGGCCATTCTAAAGGGGGGGAAACCATCTACCTTGATGTAACAATTTGCCAGCTTGATGTATGTCGAACCTGCTTTATCCCCTGAAATGCCACAAATAGAATGACGAACAAACTACAGAATAGTTTCAGATTTGACTATACGATTCATCACATTTACACATTAACTAAATCGGTTACCAAGGGGAAACTAATTGATCATAGAATTGGCAGGCTCAATTGACAGCAGGACTAATCAGTTGCAAATAGTAACCGCAGCTAATAGTGATCAAAATGTTTATAAAGTTCCGAAAATCAGTGGATGATCTCCCAAATCTTGAATGTAATTTAATCCTCCCATGACTTAATCGAGGTCAACCTTATCCGACAATTTATGATGTTATACAAACAATTAATCGATTAAGAAAATTGTTCATTCTTCGGGGGGAAAATCAGATAACAAGTTTGTAGTTTAATTGATACACCTATCCTGGACAAGCCATTTCTGCACTAGGTCCAAATCCAGAGCGGAAATCGGCCATTTGGCAGCAACAAGAGCAAAAGAAGCGAAGGTACTCTGATCGGTATTAAGTGTAAGACAAACAACGAAATGCAAGATGAGAAAAAGGAAAAAGGAAATTAATATACTCAAAAGTTACTCGGAAAACAAAGACAGAACGAAATAGAGATTAGAGATAGGGGAAGAAAATTACATGCTTTAGCGAGCTTGTAGGAATTGGCGGCTTTATCGAAGAGATCAGCAGCGTCCTCATATTTGGAGCCGAACAATCCCCAGCTATTAAGCTTTTTTTCTGCTTTCGCGTCGAATTCCTCAGCCCTTGCTAGCTGATCCGCCATTTCCCCGATTCCTTCTGGTCCTTCGAGAATTGATCAATGTCAGATGTTTGTAAGTTACAAAGAAAGATTGAGGGAGACAGCAGCGAGCAAGGAGAAAAGTATTTGTTTCCTTTTTCTTTTCTTTTTTTTTTGGATCAAGACTCAAAAGGAATGTTCAGGCCTAAAATAAAAGGAAAGATTTTTTCCCGAGCCCGACTGTTCCGATTGTTGCTTGTTTTCGCCGCAGGTGGAACCGGTCCGGGGAAAACGATGTCTTTGTCAATTTGGGCTTTAGGTTGGGGGAAAGAAAACGTTATGGAAGGCAAAGGGAATATTCTTTGGAAAAATAGAACGGAGATTAATTGGAAAATTTGATTTTCTTTTCGAGGGTAAAATATTAATTTTCTTTTGTAATAGAGGAAAATATTATTTATTTTTGGACAAAAATTACACTGAATGCTAATTATAAGAATATAGTAGACAGATATTACATATCTTGATTTTTTTGTAAGAACATATCCTGATTTTTACGTAATGCAAAAAAGATTTCTTTTCCTTGTATGTCAAACAGAGAGCCTATCTATGTAACATTTCTTCTTGACTCTGAGCTTTTGAAAACCACTTAACCCCTCATGCTACATGAAATCTGATCAATATTTGTTCTGAATTTTATATTGTATATTAAAAAGGAAAAATATGAGCCTGTTTGGTTATTATTTCACAAATAGTTTCTTATTTTCAAAAATAAAAAAATTATTTGGAGGAATGTTTTTAAATCTAATTGTTTTTAAAATTGTCATCATTTTTTTTAAAGACAAAAAATAGATATATCTTAAAGTTCTTTTCATTTTATTTTTCTTGTTTTCAAAATATATCACATTTAATTATTAAAAATTATAGTTATCTTAATAAATAATTACCATAAGTCACCATTTTTTTTTTGAATGATAACTTAAACATACTATTACTAATTAATCCAACTCATACGAATAAAATAAACAAAACAAAAAATATCATCTTTCATCATCCTTCATCTCTATTTAAAAAAAGATGACTAATGATTAAAGATATAAAAAGTATAATTTAAATTATGCAACCATTTCGCTAGGCTATCAGCAGTGTGGTTAGCCTCCTTATACATTAAGTTAGAGGAAATAACCCAATCCAATTGCAAGGATGTGACTTCATTGATAATATCTTAGTAGGGGTGTAAAACATCTAAACCTCTTGTAATGAGATTTAAAGCCTCAACAATATTAAGATAAACATCAATCATTTTATATCCACCTCTCCAACACAACCTAAGCACATGGATAAGACCAATTAATTTAGCAATAGTGGGGGTATATTATTCAATTTGCAGCTAAAACCCCACACCCATTCAATCTTATTGTTGTGAAGAACACCACTACATCCATTATAACCATTTGAAAGAAAAACCTACCTATATCAAGTCTAAAAAAATCATCTTTTTAGGATGAGACCATTTAGCCTAAATCATTTTAGCATTATTATGGAGAGTAAGGCTGCTTTGTAAATTTCTATCCTCACAAGCTCCGTAAAAACCACAAATAACATTTTGAGCACATACATCCTTTGAGTCATTATATAGGCACTTACACCTATCTTTTAAGATGATAATCATCACTATTGATTGATTTGTTAGTTTTAATTTTTTTTTTAAATTAACACAACCAAACAAATTTTCCTTTTGTTTTGTTTTGAAAAATATTTTTAAAAATTGTATTACAAAACAGTTTTTAAAAATAAAAAAATGACAATAGAAACTAAACAAGTCCTATATATATAAATTTTTACAGTTTTATGTAGTTTTAAATTAGATCCTTGCAATTTATTTTATTTTATTCAAGTCCTTATAGTTTGATCAATCATATATGTTTGTTAAAATTAATAACAAATTATTACATTTCACAAAACAAAAATATTCTAAGAGTTTAGAGAAAAGTTAATTTAATTATTTTAGCCAAAATTGAAAAAGGAAAATTTAATTTAATACACCATTTACATTTTTATGAAATTTTTATCAAAATTATATATATATCTATATATATATAACATATTTAAAAGACAACTAAATTATATAATTTTGTGTTATAAAAACTATGTAATTAATTCTAAAGTCATATAATTATTTAATAAAAATATAAAATTTCTTAATTTTATTTTTTTAAGGGAAGAATTTAACCTTTAAAGATTAAAAAATTTAACTAATCAAACTATAATGGCTCAATTAAAATAAAATAAATTATAAGAACTTAATTTAAAATTGAGTGAAACTATAATAACTGGTGAATATATTTTTTTCTATTAAAAATGTTGATGAAATTTTTTGTAAATATAAATCATTAAATTATAATTACAAATAATGATATCATGATTTATGCACATATTTTTTTTGCAAGTAAATCTATAAATTTTCACATAAATCTTCTTATAATAAAAAAATTTATTGATACACTTTAATAAATTTATACTTCCTCTGTTTAAAAATATAAAGTATTTTTTGAAAAATTAGATATTAAAAAATGTAAGGTATTTTTAGTCTTTTGAAGTGTAATTATTACCTATTTTTCAAAAATTTCACTATTGATAATAATTTTATATTTATTATAGAATATTTAATAGGAGTAAATATGAAAATATATAATTAATTTAAAATTAAATAATTACCTTATTAAAAAGTGAGATTTAATTAAAAATATTTTATGTTTTTTAATAAAAAAAGTATATTCGTGGCCGCTTGTGAAAAATGATAGCTTTAATGGGCTGCCAGACTCGATGAATCTAGGCTGAACGTCAGGCTCGCGAAACAAATGTAGGCTGAACGAAGGAAGGTAAAAAAAATTAAAAACAAAAAATCATATGGTGTGACTGTGAGCCCTGACCCTAAACTAAGGGCCTGACCAGAACCCAATTTATATATGTAGGTTCTTAATTAAATTAAAAAAAAATTATGTACAAATTCTATAGAACAAATTTATTCATAAATAATTATCATGAAATTTAAAAATTATTGTTAAGTTATTTTGGACCTGAGTGTAATTTGAATTAAAGTGCAAAAATAATATTACCTTTGTTAAAAATGCATTACATCAATAAAAGTAATTTACAATTATCATTTCTATGTTTTACAATTATAACTTCACAAATTTAATAGTTAAATAGATCATGCATTATAAATTTAATATCAATTGTATTATCATCTCATTGGTAATTTACAATTATTTTTATAGTATTTTACAACTATAATTTTAGATATTTAATAGTTAAACTGATCAGTGTTACTAGTAAAGTCTAATACTAGTTGTTTATAATTATTTTATTGATAATTTATAATTATCATTTTAATGTTTTATAATTATAATTTTACATATCTAATAGTTAAATCAGACATATATTACTAATAGAGTTTAATAATAAATTTATAATTATTTTATCAATAATTTATAATCATTACTTTAATATTGTACATTTTAACTTCATATATCTAAATATATAATAGATTCATTGATCATATATTACGAGTAAGGACAATATTATCTTTATACTATAATTTTAAATTATACTCGAGTCTTAATGACCAAACCGTAGTTCTTAAACTTCTTGAAATTTATTTTTAAATAAATTTGTTTTACAGGATTTATACATAATTTTACCTTCAAAGTGTGACTTGGATATAAATTGTGTGTGTGTGTGTAATTATATTACATGCTATGGCTGAGGATTGGGTAACGTGGCCCCGCCCCCGAATGATCAAATTTGGCCCCAACCACCAAACAACAGCACTGGAGTGGAATCTCTCTCTATTTTTTTTTATGCTTGTATCAAAAATCGCAAAGGTTCTGATTTAAAGTGATTTTTTCAAATTTTTTTATTTAAACTGATATCAAATCATAACAATTAAAAAATTTTAATCCAAAAAATGAAGAGAAAATAAAAGAAAAAGAGAATAAAGAGAAATCAGAGTTCCCTTAATTTCCCAGCACAAGAGACACCCACATCACTCTATCGGGCATTCTATTTAAAGTATCGTAATTTGTAAGTCTGTAGCACTGACACTAGAACAACCCACCAGAAAAAACAAATTTTGAATTTGCAGCTGTTAATAATATCTTTAATGCAAAAAACAACATCATCTACTTATCTAATTATATTCTCAGAACTTGATTAAGTTATAAATTTTCCTTGTACAATCATTTTTCAGGCCTGGAATAATTTAGATAAACGTGGAGTTCATAAATCATCCAAATACTTTGTTAATGCTTCATATCCAAAATATTACAGTTGAGAATGGGATCTCCCATTATTGATGTTAATTTTCAATTTAAAATAAATTTAGCAACGAAGATCATTTGCAGGGAGTCAGCGGCATGCAGGCAAGACCATAAACAAGCCTACCAACTGTAACACTAAAAACCGAGATTATCAGGTACAATGTCATATGACAAAAAAAAAAAATATAGTAATGATAATAATTTAGAGGCCATGAAAAACAAGATGAGAATGAAAACACTAAAGAGTTATCCACAGCCCAACAAGTTCCCCGTCAGACCAAAGAACGCGCTTCGGTCAATGAGATCCTTCACAATGACCCACTTCTCGTCCACATTCATTTTGGTGCTTTAGTTTCTCACTCTTGTTGTGATTGCCATTTTTGCACTTTCCTATCCCAACACTGCCCTACTCATATTTTCGCCTCACCAACTTTTACTATGTGCATTTTGGTAATTCAATACCCGCAATAATGAACATGCTTCAATTATTATTCATATTTTATATAACGAGTTGTTCGAGTGTTAATGGACTACAAGACGATGCCATTCTCCGCGCTGCTTCTCTTCACTTCATAAATTAGCCGTCCACATGTCGCCGGCCGCCGGGGTGCGCGTCCCTCTCTTGCCGGGAAGCAAAGCTGCAGTGAAGCCAGCCTCCGTCTCCGGCGCCGTCTTCAATGTGGCTACGAGTATAATTGGTGCCGGAATTATGTCCATTCCAGCGACGCTGAAGGTTTTGGGGGTAATCCCGGCCTTCGTGCTGATCCTGGTCATCGGTTTCCTTGCCGAAGTTTCAGTGGACTTCCTCATGAGGTTTACACATTCCGGCAGCACCACCACTTATGCCGGCGTGATGAGGGAGGCTTTCGGGCCGGCCGGAGCACTTGCAGCCCAAATTTGTGTAATGATCACAAACCTCGGGTGTTTAATTATGTACCTCATTATCATCGGTATGTGCGCTCTTTTCTGCCCGCTAGAGAACATGTCTAAGAACAAGACATAATATCTGATATTGAAGGAAAATACTTCTAACTTTTCAGTTTGAAAAACAGCAAAAAAGCTGATTGAGTTCTGTCTTGATGCTCTCAGTTTCAAAAGGGTGTCAGGGAGACCTTAGACGATTTGGCCGCAAAACATAAATCAGCCGTTTTTTTGTTTAAAAAAAAAGAGAGTTAATTTATGTTAATCCCATAATTATGTTACTGTCTCTAATTCTTAGCCCAGAAATGAATGGTGACCGATCTTGACAAACTGAACAGGGGATGTTCTCTGTGGAAATTCACCTGGTGGTGAGGTTCACCTGGGGATTCTGCAACAGTGGTTAGGAATTCACTGGTGGACTTCACGGGATTTTGCTCTGCTCGTGATAGTCTTCGTCATGCTTCCATTGGTCCTGTATCGCCGCGTGGGTCAGTATCATTCATTCGCAAGATACCTTCAACACTGGCTTAAAATTGAATGTTCTGTTGTTTAATTTTCAGAGTCCTTAAGGTTCAGTTCTGCAATATCAACTCTCCTAGCAGTGGCATTCGTTGGCATATGTTCAGGGATGGCAATCACTGCTTTGATCTCAGGAAAAACACATCCTCCGAAATTGTTCCCTGAATTAGACCACCGCACCTCCTTTTTTGATCTATTCACTGCCGTTCCAGTCATCGTCACTGCCTTCACCTTTCACTTCAATGGTACTTAATTAGCTAGCACTCTTCATGTTACTTAATTTTTTTCACTTTTCTTCAAAGAAAGCCTTGAATTTGAAAGTCTCTTTGCTGACAATTGGTTCACTTGCAGTACATCCAATTGGATTTGAACTTGCCAAGCCGTCCGATATGGCAGTGGCAGTTCGAATAGCATTAGTTCTGTGCGGTGCCATATATTTTGCAATAGGCCTATTTGGGTATCTTCTGTTTGGGGATTCAACGCAGTCAGACATACTCATCAACTTTGATCAGAATACTGCTGGGTCTGCAGCCGGTTCATTGCTCAACACTCTTGTCCGTTTAAGTTATGCTTTTCACATCATGTTGGTGTTCCCTCTCTTGAACTTTTCTCTGAGATCCAACGTAGACGAGCTTCTCTTCCCCAAGAGGCCTCTGCTTGCCACGGACAACAGAAGATTTGTGATCCTCACTCTGGTGCTTCTCGTCCTCAGCTACCTCATCGCCATTGCTCTCCCTGATATTTGGTACTTCTTTCAGTTCGTGGGATCAACCTCTGCAGTGTGCCTCGCCTTCATCTTTCCTGGTTCTCTTGCTCTTAGGTAAATAACATCTCACATTATCGTCACTGAGATAACATTTTTGAGTTTTTCCTATATTTTCTTTGATTTGTTTCCAAATCCACAGGGATGCTCATGGTGTATCAACGGGAAAGACAAAATCACAGCACTCATGATGATCATCCTGGCTGTGATTACAAGCGCGATCGCCATATCTACCAACATATGCAACTTTTTCGGTAGCAAGTCATAGAATTGTTTTTTTTTTTTTATCATCAGGGAAAGATCGAGAAGGCAAGCATGCCAATATGTCAAATTTGTAACTATGTAGTACCTTCGCATGGATTGGTGATGGTACATATCTTTGGCTTCTAGAGTTTTGGTATATAAAATGGACAATATGACGGTGTAGGATTGTCAAAGGTCAAGCGTGAATATACAAATGGATCCGGATATCCAGCCGATTGGCTGTAAGTAAATTCGTGGACATTTTTGTTTTTTGTTTTTGGGTAAAAGAGGACATTTTTGTCATTGTAAAAGCAATATTTAACTGTACTCTATAATTTGATACAGATGCGACGGCGAGCAAGCGTTGCATTTTTTTTTTTTTTTTTTTTTACACGGTGGATGATCCGCACTAGTATTGTATCATGGATACTATTTCACCAACTTTATGCAACATGTCACGTGCACGTGCTAAATTAATCAGGGTTTGCTATAAAAAAACGATAATAATGGAAGGCCCACGCTTGATTTTTTTTATAGTAATTTTAATGAACGAAAGCATGATACTGCAAGTAGTGATCATTCATAAAATAAAACTAGTTTTGCAAGTAGTAGGATGTGACTAAGTGAATTTAATTTTGACAAAAAAAAAAAGAAAACACAATAAATAAATTTAATACATATTGTATGACATATCAAGAAAAGACAAATGTGTCCCACGGCCACATGGGCTGTTAAGTGTTAACCACTAAAAACAAGAAGCTATCGTTGATGATCACAAGTATCTGATGGAGGACGATATGCTGTAATTTTTTTTTTTTTGTAATTTATGAATAGTATAATTTTTATCATTAAAAAAGTATATTGACTATTGACTATGTGACCCCGAAATAGAAACATTGAGTTAAATTGATGGTTTAGCTGTTGATAGATTGATTTATGCTCACAAAGTCACGAGTTTAAATTAGTGGATTATTTGTCCATCGAGCATTATATTTTTAATTTGGCGTTCGAAGGATTTAAATTTATCTATAAAAAGTCATTCTCTGTTTCATTTGATCGATAAGAACTTTTTTAAAAAAAAAATTCCAATCTTTTGGTGTACCATCTGAACTTAAAAAAGAGGATTAGAATATCAAATTAGGAGAAATTATTTTAATATATTAAATTGAGAATAAATTGATGATTGAACATTATATATATTTTCTAGTTTATTAGGGTGAAAAACATAGATAACTTCACGTAGCTTTTTCCCTTAATTACCGCTAGAAAAGATCCCCACCCAGACTATGGTGAGAGAGAGAGAGAGAGAGAGAGAGAGAGAGAGAGAGAGAGAGAGAGAGAGAGAGAAGCAATTAGGAATTAAGAAATTAAGAAAAAGAAAGAAAAAAATGAATTGCAAATTTTTACATATGGCAAAGCACATGACTTATCATTGTTGATGGAATAGGTACAGTGAACCAATAATGTCTACTGTGTTGTGGACTTGTGGTAAAAAAAAAAAAAATTATATCTAAATTTCACGAGTTTATTATTAAGAATAAATTATAAATGACTTCGATTATTAATATCCTTAATTAAATTATAAATATAAAATTTAAGACTTGAGAGTATTTCATTAATTTTATGAGATTTTTTAATAATAGATTCTCTTATGTGAGATTTAAATGTAATTTTTAAAAAAATAATCACCACTAGAAAAATTGAATTTAGTCCATTTTTCGTAGCTAAATTGTATTTTAGCTACGAATTTTATCCCTCGCTAAATTTGTAGCTAAAAAAGGGCTCACTAAATTTAGTGAGGAATTGTATTTTCCTACTAATTAGTGAGAGATTTAGCGAGGGATTCATCCCTCGCTAAAATTAGCTAGGGACTGAATCCCTTACTTGCTCCTCACCATATCATATATTCATCATGTTTATGTCAAAGTCAAGGTTTAAACCTTGACCTCATATCTTTCAAGTTTTATGCTTCTTTTTTTGCCAGTTGAATTGAAAGGCACCTACAAGCATTATATGATAAATTAAATATATATATATATATTATTTAACTACATAAATATATCCAATAATATATTATAAAAACACACACATATACATATTAAATTTTATTTTAATTATTAATATGTTAAAAATATTTATATTTCATTTAAATTATTCTTTATATTATATTTTTAGTAAAATATTATTTTATTAATAAAATCAACTTAAAATAAAGAAAATATTAAATAATTTTATTATGAATATTTTTGTTATTTTTATATTTAATTATTATTTTTAAATGAAAATAATTAAATGTATAATTAAAAGTCATTGTCAAAAGTAATTTTTTTTTGTAATAATTAGCTAGGATAGAATCACTTGCTAAATTCCTCGCTAATTATTATTTTAGAGAGGGAATTAGCGAGGGATTGTAGGGATAGAATCACTTGCTAAATCCCTCGCTAATTATCTTATTTTAGAGAGGGATAATTAGCCAGGGATTGACAGTTCTTCGCTATTTTTCTCGCTAATTCTCTTATTTTATAGAAGGATTGATAGTCTCTCGCTAATTTCCTCGCTAATTTTAAGTCAAGCTACGAAATCAACATCTCTCGCTAATTTCTTCACTAACTTGTATTTTAGAGAGGAATAGATGATCCCTCGCTAAATTTCCTAGCTAATTTACATTTTTCTAGTAGTGAATGTCTATTTTGTGGCCGTTGAATTTTTTTTAAATGCATTGGTGTTTATAAAAATTATGACACTAAATTTAGACTGTGTAAAGTAATTTAGACAGTTAATTTATAAAAATTATAAAAAATAATATTAAATTTATATCATCAAGATTAAATTTAAATTGTCTAAATTAGTGGAATAAGCAGGTTTAAATTTTTTTCATATTTTTATTTTGAAAATGAAATATGAAAAATAAAAATATTTTTTAACTGATAATTTTCAAAAAATAAATTTAAAAAAAAATTATAAGTTAAAAAAAATTTTAACTTTAAACTGTCTAAATTAAAATTGAAGGGGTCCATTACAATTATGTTAGCAAATTAATTAATTTTGCTGGAGTGGGGAAGGCAATAGCATACCGCAAATAATTATTACTTGGATACCCTTTTTTTATTATGATATTTTCCTTTTCTAGGCTTGAATCTTAGTTTCAGACTGTTGGATCAGCGCAGAAATCATCCTTATGGTTCAGAATTTTGTTATAAAACTAATAAATTTAAAAGTTTAAAAATGAATTGAATATTTTAAATGTGACAATGATAAAATCTAGCATGAACAGGGGCGGAACCAGCTTTAAAAATCAAGGAGGGCCAATTTTTTAAAAAATAAATGTATACTTAATTTTTAAAATTAATTTTATTAGTTAAAATATATTATTATATTAATTATTAGAAGTATAATTACATAAATATTTCAAGAAAACTAAAAAAAACACAAGATACCATATATCTAAATAACTAAATATAATATATATTTTTATTAAAATATATTCTTTTTAGTTCTATTTATAAGTCACTTCAAGTATTTTTATCAAAATCAAAAAAAAGTTTACACCTCATTAACTTTCTCTAAAAATTCAACACATTTTGTACTTTATCCTTATTAAATATACATACTTTAAAAGTAAAATACTCTAGTAGTAATATCATTCCCAACATTTAACATGAGTAATGATGAGAATAGACACAATATTTATTAAGGTATTTTATAAATAGAATCAAAATAAGTACTCTTTTTGTCTTATATATAGGATCAAAGGAGTACAAATAAAAAAAATGTATGCATATTGTATTATATACACATAATACCTTAATTAAAAAAAGATATATGATGATTTTTTTTTTTCTTTTAGAGGGGCTGCAACAGACAACAGCCCCCTCTTATACACTTTTCATAACCGGAATTTCAAACACATATGGAAGTATATGAAGAAGTTAATTACAAATGTTTGATGAAAAGCCAAAGCTAAATGTAGTCATTAACGGTGAACATTACAAGTAACGCAAAGATGAAAGCATAATCTACCCCACCGTTAATTTTCACTCTGAAACTTTCTTTGAAGTTGAAGAAGCTTCTGGTCGGCAAGCCTTCCGTCACCTGAGCAATGACACCATCGCCTCTATAAACTCTGCATGAAAGGTCAGAGTAAGTCTTCACAAGTTGAAAACTGGACGTCTTATTAATGTTTTCATCATCATCTCCATCACCATGCTCAGCCATGAACGCGTCAAGGTGTGCCTTCATTTCCAGAGGGTGCGATCTTTCGACTCTGAATATCAGATCCTTCTTCTCGGAGCTCTTGCCTCGATGAATCCTCCACCGATGCCGTAGCGTCGCCAGCTTCACCTTCTGACGCATCGTCAGGACCAGCGAGCCTGAAGCATCACGCATCACCCTCTTCTTATGGAGGCTCAGGCTTGATCCTTCCACTTTCAGCAACAGCTTCCCATTCGTATCAGTCAGTTCGTATTGTTGGCGTATCAAGAATCTGTCGTATTTCTTCTTCACTATCAACTCTTTTGTGTTGGCGTCACAGAAGCTGTCTGCAACCACGCTTGCCATGCGAAATCCATCTCTGCTTCACGTTCACAAGTTGCTTCTTGCTGCATATTAATTGTTTGTGATTAAGATAAACTGAGCTTGCTAATTGTTGTTCATTTTGGTAGTTCTTTTTATTTCATAATTTCTTCAGCAAACGTACACTGAAACTAATATAGGATCAGCCAAGTGCTTGTTTCTTGGAAAATCATTACTTCTTTGAATCACCGGCTGCCTCGACTAGTCTACTTAACGCGGTAGCAAAGTAAGACAAGGGACCTATTATTTTATTTTATGGTTTGGATTTGGAGGCTACCATATCTGACCACGTTATGGATAGAATACTCTCTCATCAAACCAAAGAATGATATAGTTAACGTATTGAATATGTCTTAAAATGAAAAAAAAATTCCAACTTTACATCTATTATAAAAATGGGAGAGAATAATACATAACATATGATGAATCATGAAATTAGATTTACAATAAGGATGAAATTAAAATAATAATAATAATAATAAATAATTGTCCATGTGTCTTATATTAAGGATCACTAAATTTTTTTAGAATGTATCCTATAATAGAGATCGAAAGGAGTTTATGCACACTTAAATAAATAATATTATTTAAACATAATATTTTCTCACAAAATACCCTATATATAAGCTATTTTCTCACAGAGTATATATGCTAACGTTTTTTTTTTCTATTCATTAAAGATTCTTTTCCAAACCATAGTTATTCTTTTTTCAATTTTCAGGGATTAAGGGGTAAAACGGTCCAACTATTTGCAGGTCTTACACATAAATTCATGATTTGGTATGTTACGAGGGAGGGACGACACATTGTAACATCGCTAAAATCCTCCACTAAGTTAATCACATATATTTGACACATTACGATGGTTATTAAACATTGATCATATAAGGTTGCTATGGAAAAATAAAAATTCTTTTATTTAAAATAAGATATCAAGTTTTTATCATTTAAATCACAAAAAATTTAAGTCAAGATATATCTAAATCAAAGTTATAAAATATATGAAAGTATGAGATATTAGTTAAACTTAAAAATACTTGCAAATGGGGTGAGCAAAACCGAATTGAAATCGAAAATCAAACCGAATCAAATCAAATTTGATTTGGTCTATTTGTTTTTTCAATTCGATTTAGTTTTTTTATTTTAAATATTTTGATTGATCAGTTCAATTTGATTAGTAAAATTTAAAATTGAATAGACCGAACCAACCGAATTATATATAATTTATTAATTTATAAATTATATTTAATTTATAAATTATTTTATTTTATTTTTATTTTTTATTTTAATAAAGAATAAAAAATAATAACATTACTTGAAACCCTATTTCAATCAGTCACTCTCAACCCTATTTTTTATAAATTATTTTTTTGATTATTCATGCCTTTATAATATTTGGGCTTTATGTCATATGCATGTAATTAAAATAGGCTCATATGAAAAAAAAATGAATAGAAAAAAAGGCCCAATTTTATAGTATTTGTTTTAATATTTAAAAAAATGAGCCTAATTTTAATAGCTTAATATGAAATCAAAAAATTGAATTAACTGACCGAACCAAATTATCAAATTTTGGTTCAATCTTTGTTCGGTTTGATTGGTTTGTTCGGTTCGATTTGATTTTCATTTTCAGTGTTATTCAGTTAATCGGTTTTGCATATTTTAGGATTGAACAGAACCAAACCAACTAATGCTCACCCCTAATTGCAAAGGACAAAAATGTTATTTTCCTACTATACGAGTCATATGCCATGGCTAATGGCACTTTTGTTGTAGCTAACAACACAAAGGCCATTTGCTACAACTGATGCACTTATGCATTGCAACGAGCCTCCCTTGTGTAGTGCACCCTGACAAAAGTGGCATTTGCTCACGATATGCTCCACTGAAATGACAACACTTTGTTGTCATAGGACAGATCTACAGGCCAAATTTTGACACACTCTAAATTTTCATTTGATGTTTTATTGAGGTGATTTAAGTAAATTTCATTCAAAAAACTAGCTAATGGCACTATTTTCTTTTCCAAATTATCTCATACTAAGAAGTTGAATATCCAAACACAAACTAATCACATTTTATACGTTTTCACAACAAAGGTGTTCAAACCTTAACCAAAGTGCTAAAAACTCACAATATCACCTAAACCAAACTCAAAAGTATCTACAATGACCTATGCAGCATACCATAATGCACAAATACATTCAAAATCTCATTTTCATTCATTAATTCCATATTCATAAAAAAAGCAATGGGGAGGTAATTCATCATTTAATCACTAAATTAATCATTTGCAGTAATTCCAATAACCCAAAATATATTTGTACAAGTATTTTAGCTCTAACTAAACATGATCAACCCATACAACTTGAATTAGGGCACAACAATAAACCATAAATGTATGCAATGGTGCAAGTACTCAAAATGATTATCCTAGTTGGCATTATCATATTCACTACACATAAAGCATAATAAAGTTGAGACTATGCAATAGGAAATTTGAGTTCCTAAACCTTTTGTGCTTTTCCCTTATCTTGTTCGGAGCTAGCATGTGTAAAATATTAAATAAGAGATGAGTATAACTATTCAATAATTAAGATAGTCTAAAATATGCTCTTGTAAGTCAAAATAATCACAAGCATGCAAATTGAGCAAGTAGAAAACAACTTAATATCATTAATCACATTTTAATGCAATGCATGATCTACCATTTACTCCGAATCTCCATCATTGCTGACTAAACCTATGGGTTACAAAATAGATAGGAGCTAAACCCATATGACTAGGATAGTTCAAACTCTACAATCATGAGGGATGACCCCGACTAAGGCCCTAATATTCTCATTCTCAAACCATGAATTCTCTCATCTCAAACTTAAGGGTGTCATAATACCTTATTACCAACTTTGCTAGTTGGGGTTTAACAGTAAATCCCATTATCACCTTTGATAGGTGGGATTTAAAGGTAATATATAGAACCAAACACCAAGGCCTCTCGATGTTGGTGTGATCCATGTGAACGCAAATCACTACTCTATAAAGGCAACCTCTTGCTATTTGTATGATCATGCAACTCATCACATGCTAAATCACATAGCATATCACAATATCATCATCATAATGCTCATATTCATCATCATTTACCAAACTTAAAAGTTGAAATCCACTTTTTCATATTTCACAACTACATTAATATATAAAACCCCACTTGTATATTTTGAAATTAAAACAACATACATATGTTTAGAGATATATATATATATATATATATATTTCGAAGTTTACAAACACTTATAATTAATTAACAAGTAATAACAATCAATAGAGTCCTCTGCTTTAAACCTTTGAGAACTTTAAGGTTACCCCCTAAATACAACTTGCTCCCGAGCTAAACTCATGCTTCCTAATGCTTCGTGAGGTTAGTCTACAATTAACATTAACCGCTATTGCTAATAATCATAAAAAATAACACTTTTAACTTCTAATTTTACACTTTAACAACCAACTTTCCTAATCCACTAATTGAATCTCACAACCAATGGGTTTATTAAATCTCATTATTTCATTCAACTCTCATTAATTTAAATAATTATTAATGTAACATCCAACAATCCAAAATAATCATTCAGAGAGGCCTAGGATTCATCCAAAATGGATTACTAAAGCTTACAATCTTGTAAAAACTTTTAAACTAAATGTAAAATACTTAAGCAACTCTTATTAGTCCCATTTAGACCAATGAATTCAAACCCATAACCCTATGTCTGAAAATCATCATCATAAAACCCCAAAATTTACTCCAAAATTGTGTAGAGAAAAGAGAAAAGAGTAGGGAAGGTTTGCTTAAATGAAATCAAGCTTTAAACACTTTCCAAGTGCTCTAAAGTTGTTGTTTTAGCAAATCTTTTACTCTCTCATCACTCCCTCTTCCTTCTTTCTTTTCTCGTTTTGCAACTTGGGTTTGCAAGTTTTTTATTTTAAAATTTTGTCCATTTGTTGTAATTTATAGAGCCTTCGCCACATTGAATGGCATAGAGTAGCCCCTCAATGTGGGCCCAAGTGGCCCAAAATATTTTTGAATCCATTCCAATTGAAAATAAATTCAATAAATCTTTTAACAATTCCCAACCATCCTTAAATTAATTAACACTCAATTTTATTTATTTAATTTTGATTAGTTCACTTAATCTAATGGTTAAAAATTTAGGATATTACATGCATAATATATGATAAATCATGAAATTAAATTTATAACAAGAATAAAATTTAAAATCATAATAAATAACTTTCCATATGCTTTGCGATCAATGAATCTTTTTAGAATGTGCCTTGTAACAAGGACTGAAAAGAGTACACATATATTTGAAGTAATAACATTATTTGAATATAATCTCTTCCCACAAAATGTCCTATATAAAGGTATTTTCTCACACGTATATATGGCAACGTTCTTTTTTTTTTTGGTTCCTATTCACTAAAGATGCTTTTCCAAACCATAGTTATTCTTTTTCAATTTTCAAGGGATTCAGGGGTAAAACGGTCCAACTATTAGCAGATCTTTTTTCCCCCCAATTCATGATTTGGTATGTTGGAGGAAAATAAAATAAATTTTCAATATCCTTATCATTAACATTTGATTATTTCTCAATATTTTGGAGTAGCTGAAGACTCGACATCGCCAAACACATTGGCACTTTGAACGAGTCCGTCCCCTCTAAAATCTATATCACACTGCCCGTTTAAGAGCCTCAGATTTTCCAACTTCAAACTACGCACACTGATTTAAATAAGGTTACTGACATTTTTTTTATCTCAAATCTTCTATCCAACATACATTCTGAATTTGAACAAGGGTTTCTCGAAGTCTCAAAAAATTCGCACGCAAAACAATTTAAAAAACAACTTTGTCTTAAACATTGAGATTAACTCCTCTTCGTCAATAAGTCTTAAATGTTGAAATTTCTGGTACACAAGATTTTTTTTTTTAATTGGCCGGAATTCTGGTATAAAAGATTGACTCCTCCTCTTCGAAGAAACTCATCAAATAAACACGATATATCACCTCATAACTTTCAATTGGTCATTTATTGATCTTATTCTCAGAGGAACAGCCAATTTTCTCAGAACAACCATTTACCCTAACATCCATGTAAGTACTTCAGAAATTAGCATGTTGAGGGGGAAAGCATGAATAATCTGAAACTTCTCATGAATTCAGTCATTGATATAACTATAAAAACTATATAATGTCACACTATTTATGAATCATAAATAATATAATATAACTCTCCCATTGGACTTCATGTTGTGTCCATTGTAAATTTCTCCACCAATTATGACAGGCCCACATCTAGATTTTGTAAATCCCTGGAGACCTGAAAATGTTAACATATACAAAACTGAATATGGCATATTTCATTATGAAGCTGCTTCGTGCTTACAAAACTTTCGGTATATAAGATGATAAGAACAAGATGGTTACTGCCATACTGCATATAAAGCTGAATCATATTAACAGATGTAAAATTCTAAATTTTTTTGGTTTTAGTCAGAAAAATTTAGATGGTTCAACCGTGCAAATTTAAATTTGTATGTTCGGCAGTTTCTCTTGGCACAATTACAGAACATAAGTTTCAGCCTAATGTGACTGCAACATGCTCCAACCTACAAAAGTAAGTTTGAAAAATCCAACTATTTGTTGGATTTGACAAAAACACCTTTCTCGATTTGTGCTAGTCATCCTTGCACAAGTGCCATGCTAATTTTCTTTGTATCATTCCAATTTTATCGGATGCCCGCGAAAGTTATCCAAATAGGCCCTTAATTGTGAGAAAAAAAGCCAAGCCAATTAAGCATGAATTATCACATACCATCAATAAGAATGGACAGCCATTGTATTCCATCTGTCACTGATGTGAACCAAGAGAAGCTTGAACAACATTACTCTTTATTAGATTTGAACTAAGCATAACTAGCAGATTCTGCTCGTTCTTATCCATACATTTACGGCCAGCTCATTGATTATAATACTACATGTTTTGAGCCTAATAAAACCTGGGCAACCACCTCAGCCAAAAGTCATGATCGCCCACCATATTTCTGCTCTTGGAATCTTTTCATCAAGGAGAATTTGAATCTCTCAATATCTGCATCCTCAAGTGAATTTGGAGTTGACCTAACAATTGTCATTGCTCCAGCATGACATAAGGATGCAAGAACTTCATCTACAACAATGAAGAACAATTAGCCCAACGGAGAAAGAAGAAAAGATTAGCAAATTCCACTCTTGCATATCTCAACCTCATGATAATCTTTCTACTGAATTATTAGATAATCTGCTATGTACTGACAAAAGCAGCCACAGGGCTTTCAAAAAAAAAAAAAAACAGCTTCAGGTATCATTAGCATGCAATTGCCAAGAGCTCTTGCCTCGTACAGATTTAGTAATTCAAAATCAAAACGAAAGTGTTTGTCTTCCTCTTCATCAAATGCCTGTATTGTCAATTGATGGATGTGGATGACATTACTCAAAACATGTCAAGGCTTTTTAAACTACACTGCAGACTTGGTTCATACAATTGGTTCTCATACAAAATATTATAAGAATAATAAACAAAACCGTAAAAAGCATGGCTAGCCCTAATAAGCAAAAAGTAGAAGCCATAACAGAAGACCTAAAACATTTGGATCTCAAATCACTACCTGATCGTGAGAGTGCATCCAGAGCCTTCAAAGCTGATTTCCGTGTTCGGTCGTCATTAGCCGTGTTCAACATGCTTAAGAGCTCTTGGGCTCCACCCATCTCAACTATCTTCATCCTTCTTCCATCTTTTCATCAAAAAGAAAACAGAGAACTTCTTGATGTTATATATGCAGGTACGCAAGAGTCTAGATTCTAGAAATAGGAGACTCAACATGTAATTACTAAAGGCCCAAACTGAATGAATTATCAAGGAAATTTTATGAGTTTCAATTTCCAAATAGAATTCAGTTTTAGTTACTGGAGCGTCAATTCTAATTTCTAATTCGTTTTTAGTAACTAGAATGTCAATTCTAATTTCTAAGTCATGAAAGAACTACAATTTACAATAAGGTAGCCCTTTCAGTAGTCAGATTTAACAATAATGAGACCTGTAAACACGGGGGCAGTGAGAAAGTTGTACATGACTGGTTTATCCAGTCTGAACTTTGGAAGCAGACAGGTTAATTTTTGGCTGTTATGTAGCCGTTTTAAAAAGCAGACATGTATTATATATAAAGGTGGTAATGTGACAGTTTTAAACAGTATTGAGAGTCGTTCTGCTGTAAGAAAGGTTTAAAAGGGTTAAACAAAAAAACAAGAAAGAAAGGAGAGGCACATGGTGAATTCTGCAAAAGTGTCGGTAGGATTTTTAGCTTCTCATATAGCTATAGGGGATTTATTAAGTTGCCGGCTTTGTGATTGCAAGAATTATTCTCTTTATCTAAATATACAAGATAAACTAACCCAGTAATGTTCAACGTATAAGAACAAAGTTTACTTGCAGAACCTTCATATCTAAGTTCAAAGTCTCTAATCTACTAACTCAGTTGACCCAAAATTTGCTTTTTTTTCATAAGCTATTTGAGACTGTTCCAAGCTTTAGCTAATATAAAGCAGGAAGATATTGAAAACAGCATTGATATACCCGCAAAAGGAATCTGTTTAGGCAAGGGCTATCTAAGTATCTAACACACTCAAGAGTGAAGACTAGCACACACCACAAAGTGCTTCAACATTATTCCCAAAGGTGATACGTGACATAAGTGTAAATGTGCAATATTAACACATTTAGCTGGCAAAGTCTTGCGGAAAAGTATAGAAAGCATGGATTACCGTCAATTGCAAAACGGGTCAACCTAGACGCTCCCATCCTTTTAAACAAAGGGTCCTTGACTCGCAAAAGAGATACAGACTGTTGCATGAGATTATCTCCTATAGTTATATATAATAGGAATATAGTCAGCTTTGATCCAAGAGAAAATGCAAGCATTACAATTAAAATTTACATCTAGAATACAGATACCCATGAAAGGAAAGAACTGGTATGCCACCACAGATGCTGTCCCCGCAAACAGCAGTTTCAAGAGCCATCCAATTTTTCTTTCAGCTTCTTCTTCAACGGTTAACTCCTCTGGAAATCAGAAGCGATTCAGGTGAAGTTGTTCCAACAGTGAATAACTTAATTGCACCTCAGAATAAAACCAGATACCCAAAAATTCTATTCATATTTCATATTTGACGATTTCAATGCATGGTTCAGTCATATGACTTCCTGTATCACAATCTTTTTTTCCCCGTAGAATATGCTCAAAGTAGACAAGTCCTAAAATTTCTGGCTGTCCTAATCTCTGCATAGTGTCCTCAAAATTCTGCTCTATAAACGAAAATGTGGGTACCAATAAGAGATTAAATACTGAGAAATACAGCATTACCCTTGCCATTGTAGGATGAAAAATTGCGAGATCGTAGACTGACCCCAGGTCTTCTTCTACATAAATACTGCAGCGTCGTAGAATGAATACAAGTAAATAATTAACAGAAGAGCACCCAAATGAGGAAATTATCCAAGAAGTTGTTAAAGGTACACGAAACAAAAAGATCTAGATAGAAAGTTTAGGCGTTAAACATGGGAATGCAGAGATTAAATTGCACTTTACATTAGCGAGTTGAACTGGTATGGCCCGCATTAGGTCAATTATCAGCTCGCTCTCTTTCTTCTACGAAATCACAAGTTGGTCAAGCAACTTTTGGGTTGAACTTCCTCAATTACACCGAGGATGGGGCTGATAATTGTCGATTACGCGAATTCACACAATGACATAATAGAGGCAAACTTGAGGCCAGAGATGATAAACATCAATGTCGATTGCTTCATCTCCATCAGCGTTCAGACTTCCGTCCGCCTCCCCCCATGGAGTCGCGTCAGTCTTGTCAGCCTCAATCGCCTGGAGTTTGGGGAAGAAGGACTGTTAGGGTTAAAACTTAAGATCCGATAGGGGCAGAAATGGTCAATAAAATATTTATTTGAGGGCATAATAGTCGCAGACTTTTATTCCAGAGAACTAGCACACTTGACAGTTGACACTTTTCTTAAATTTTGGTGGAAGGAATTCAAATGCACCAAACATGCCAAAAATAAAAAATGTGACTACATAAAAGACAGATCGAACGAGATTTCAGGTTTCTAAGGTTTTGTCCTTTTTATGAAAATGATAAAATTAGGTATCTCAAGGTCTAATTTACTCTTAATATAACTTGAAGTTGAATAGAAATAGATTAATCTTATAGGATTAAAAAATTGATTTTGATCTTGTTTAGTATCTTACTTTATTTTTTTCTTTTCTCATCTATAAGAGAAAACAATTTATTTCAACCTAATCAACTCAATTAGCATAATAAAATTACTTATAATCATGTAAAATTTATTACAACTACAATTATAAATTTATAACAATCTCCAACAATAACAAAAAGTATTTCAATTGCAACACATTAGGATCCAAATTAAACGACCTTTAATGTGTCTAAAATTTATTACATGAAGTTAAAAACAAATTTTATCAATAAAAGGGAAAGATTGAGGTTGCTTAATGCTAAAATTTTGCTCGATATTCATGATTTCATAAGTATAAAATACAAAAAATTACTAATTATTATTATAATAAAAAAATTAATTTATTATAATAATAATGATTAATAAATTAATTATAATTATATTAAATAAATTTATAGGACAAGACCGAACCAAATGGTTCAAACATTCGATCTTTTGTCTAGTCTAACCTCAAGAAAGAGTATTATTTTTTTTAATAGCTTTTTTTATCCTAAAAGATTAGTTTTTATCTGAATCAAATTAAACTGAGTCATCTCGGGTTGGATTGAATCAAATGAGATAAAAGAACTTTTGCACAACTCCGATCCTAAGCATAGCAATTATAAAGAGTCAATCATTTGGATTAGTCAAGTTTGTTGACTTCTGACTCTGTTTGAGTTTGTTTTATTTGGACTCACACAGATCCATTTGAATATACATTAAAAAAGCATATAATTAAATGGCCACCCTAATTAAGCTTTCAAATTTCTTCATGGCCTAAGTCTTAAGAGTTTAATTAATATTTAATATATATCACATGTTAAGAAAAAAAAACTACATGATAAGGGGCTTGAGCAAATTTTTTGACATTATTTAAGTTTGATCCTAAAATTTTTTTTCAAATTTATTAATATTCATCACGTCAAGTTTAACTTGAATTAGGAGCTATAATTCTAAGAGTCGAAACTACAATAGAAACAAAAAAAATGGTGTTGTTTATATCTTTCTTATGTGTAATGTATTATGTTTAGGATTCATTCGATTTATGTGAATTTCACTTTAATTTTCTTAAATTTACATTACAAAATACAATATGTCACTGTTTATAAATGGTAAGTAATGCTACCTAGATTTGTTTTCATTACCGATAATAAGAGAAATATGGTCTTTTTTTTTTTTAATATATGTGTGAAGGCACACTTCTTAAAATCCAGCATTTAAGCAAAAAAAAAAAAAAAAAAGGGAAGCAAAGCAAAACCACTCAGGACCCAGGGTCCGAAATAGTGTAGCCAGCATCCTATGACATCCAAATCCAGGGAAACAATAGTATGAAGCCCAAAGAACGAAGCCCAGAGGCCCAAACGGTTTGGTTATCTTCAACCTTCAATTTCCATACTTTGGGCCACGTGGAGTCTGAGTTGTCATCCTAAAATGGATTATATATATATTGATTTTTATGCCCGAGTAAAATTTTTTTAAATAGAGTTAATTAACGATCAAATACATTAGAGCCAGCAAGTTAACCCACAAGCTTGAATTTGATCTAAAGCCTGAATAAAGCTTAGTCTTGAGTCTATTAATTAAAAGCTCGATCTGCTTGAAAATTTATTTAAAACCTACTTTTAATCATTTATAATTAGGTTAATTAATATGTTAATTACATGTTAATTAATATGTGTTGAGTATATCAAAATCTACGTGTGTACACACACAACTTGATTTTTTTAAAAGCAAAACGGTAAGCCTATTTTGAATTATATGTATTAATTATTAATATTAGCTATTAAATAAGTAATTTTTATATAATTTAATATCATCAATTTAAATTATGTGTGTTACACATTCATATATGATTTACTTTTATGTATATAATTATGTTTGTATATTTTACATTCACATTCATATTTATACATAAATGAATGAATGTGATTGTTCATCAAGCTCATATGGATCAAACTTTTAATCTGTGTGAATTTAAATTTGGCTTTTTTTATTTTGCTTAAATATGACATGGCATAGCTTACAGTACCCCTACCCTAATGTTTCGTCACTTTATTGAAAGTTAAATTGTTGGGGGGGGGGTTAATTCTTTTTTAAAATGCCATGACTTTATCACATCAAATAGTTAAAACCTTAAAACTAACTCTTTACTATATATACCAAATATTATTGAAATTAAAATAAAATGAAATGAACTTCATCTGTATAAGGATAAATGATCAAATTCATCTTTAATTTCTTTTTTTGAGAAACATTGATATTCTATAATATCAAAAATTTATCAATTATTTAATTCATAGCATCCAACACTCTCCTGGTTAAATTTATAAAAAAAAGTTCCTTCCTTTCTTTTCTCTTTTTTCTCTTCCTTTTTCAATTCTCACCATTCATTAAATTTATAATTAAAATAAATTTATTTAATAAAATAAAATAAATAATAGAGGTTGAAAAAGGGAGGAAAAAGGAGAAAAAAGAGACAGAGAGAGGGAGAAACCCCTCTCCCCTAAATTTAAGCAAACTGAAGTTTATTTAGTATTGTGGGGCCCACTTGAATTGCAAAGGTGGCAGTGCCTTCCTGATTCGTTCGCCCCTCTCTTCTCATTCGTTCAGCCTACACTAATCTCGTGACGCCACTCTTGCTCCACCACAGTTATGTTGCATTCCCTCTCGCTCTCAAACTTCCTTCTCTCTCATCTCACTGCCACCCCCCCTTTCTCATCTCGACTCTCATAGTGTCATCATATTTCGAAGGAAGTGTGACTCTCATCATCGACTTTCACCCACGAAAAATGTGCCCTGTTCCGACGGCCAGAACCAGAACCATGAAGCCCCTCTTGTCTCCACCACCTTCTTTCTCATTTCACTTCTCTTTCTTGCAGGTAATGCCATGTCGAAACTTCATGAGGATATATCGGTTGGAATCATGATCTCAACGCCTCTGATTCTAGCTATCATGAAAGATGTCTAAAGCGCCGGCATGAATCAAAGAGGACCTGAAGAAAGGGAAGCACTGAATAATGAAAAAAATTACATAATAATGGCATGTGTCATATGCAATACAAACAAATGGAAAAGATTACTCTTTACTAACAAGACTTTCTAATCACACAGGTTTACAATTCTGCAGAGTAGATACGCATATGCACCCATTGACATAGAGCAGGGAGAGAAAGAGTGAGAGATACTAATTATAATTTGCATGTACTTGAAGTCAAACTTGTTATCATGCTCACCATGACTTTGGAAACTATTGCATATGGTCATCAATTGCTATCTTTTCTATTCACAGCTCATCAGTACTCACAAATTATTGCTGGTGGTTATTTCCCTTCATGCCACAGTGCAATTACGGTTACTGTTATTAGTTACATTGAAGTGTGTTTATTGCTTATATGCAGGCAAAATTAGGTTTTGTAGCCAATTCCTTTTATAGTGGATAGTCAGTTGCTGAGTTTTTCTTCCATATAATGGGAGGGCGAGAAGGGCATGTTGATACTGCGGTGGGCTTCATATTTTGAGTACGATATCCACAATATGCCTTTGTTTTTCCATGACAATATGCCCTCATGAAAGTACTTCCACCATGAGCAAATGACATGAAGCATGCAGAGAGGACCTGCATGTAGCCGAAGACTACATAGACTATTTCAAAGTGGGTGCCCTTAGGACCGACAAAGTCAGAGAAGAACTCGGTTTAACATCCTCTGGAGTAAATTAAATGGATGACGTTGCCAATTGCAGTTACTTGGCCGCATGTCCGGGAGACCTTCAAGGATCCCAAAAACACCATGTTGCCCTCTCAGGTTGGCAATGTCATCTACCAAAAGCAGCTCAGAATCTAGCTAGGTGCACCACTCACCGAACGCACAAGGGAAGAAGGCTGGCCAAAGTACATAACCGTGAGATTTTGAGAGGGCAATCAAGGGTGCGGGGCAAATGGAGGCAGAGATGAGGCCGGAGATGGTGGAATCATATAGAGATGAAATTCAAGATGAGGGAAGGAGTTGGAAATGGCGGAACAAGAGAGGGAGGGGTTGGAGGAACATACAAGTTGTAGAGCTTTGATTGCTTGGTGTCAGGTTTTTTATGTGGGCCTTGTATCAGTATAAACGTCCATTTCATTAAAATAGACAAAAGGTGCTAGATGCCCTTTTTATTAACTCGTGAAGTATCTTGTACCATCCCATAATATAAAATATTATATACTCCTCGAAAAAAATAATTTAAAGGTGAAAATAATTTTTAACTGTTTATATAATTATACTAATAAACTTGATATAGTACAACACAAATAATCAATGGTGACAATATCGCACGTTATCATAAAAATACATCGCCAGCATCAAGGACTTCATTAGCAAATAATACTTAAGGTGATTCAAATCAAAACAGACACGATAACAATCTCAAGAGTGAGGACTTAATAGCGAGAAAGTAAACCAATGAAGACCCTTCAAATAAATCATACGGTGACAAACCAACTAATACAAATTAAGCTAGCATATGATTTGAACTAGCTAAGAGGTGAAATGTGATATCTCCGACACTTGCTCAAGATGCCTCGTATGTAAATCTGTTTTGTTACATTTAACAGGCTTCTTGTTCAGCCACAAACTGATAGATCGTTTCCATCAGTATCATGTTGGTTTG